GTTGTTGTTGTTGTTGTTGTTGTTGTTGTTGTTGTTGTTGTTGTTGTTGTTGTTGCTGTTGTTGTTGTTTTCTTGCCTTATTAAGGGCTCTTTGTTCGGTTTTTGAAAGGACTCTTCTATAACCTTCCTTGTCAATGATGAAGGTTTCGTTTGAAGTTTCATCAATAGTTACGGTTTTCTTTGGTGTTGAGTTTGTTGAATTATTCGTTTCATTGGTTTTGTTTAAGATGGATTGAGGTTGATCGTTAGATGTGTTTGAGGTTGTTGAGGGTTGTTGAGGTGAGGGTTGTGGAGTTGATTGACTTGATGTTGAGTTACGAGCTGCTCTCTCGGCTAAACGAAAATTGTGTGCCCAAGTTGAAATGGATGGTTGGTAGCGCCTGAGATGAGATAGAAGTGCGTAGTCTAGCTATTTGGTAGCGCAAAGAGGCATCGCTAACTTTGAAAAAAATTAGTTTTACCAATTCAATCATCTTGATGACTTTCAAATCAAGAAGTACTTATCTATCCTACAGCTACAAAAATGACCTCACCGGGATTATATGACCAATATCCAATCACCACTCTTCCACGTATCCCAGACATCCCCCTCAACTCCAAATTAATAACTCCACCTCAAGGTATTTCTAATACTTCCACAATTATTGATTTTGCTATTTCAAAATCAAGTATTGCTAGTCATGTCATTAAACCTAGTCCAAGATTATTATGGTCATTCACATTGTCACCAACTACTATTGTTGATTGTATGGATGTGAAAAAGATTGATAATGAACAGAAGAAATTGTATGTTGTAGGTAAAACTGACAGAGGATCCAAATTTAAATTATTAATGATTGAGACTGATCAGGATATTAATACTGTTGGAGACGTTGAGCTTGAATTGAAGGAAAGAGTTGTTGGTGTTAAGTTCTATAATGAGGATTTGATTGTGGTGGTGTATGAATCTGGTAGTATTGAGTATGTGAAGTATGGTTTTCAGAGTTTAGAATTTGCGGAAGTTAAGTATGTTGTTGATGATGGGAGAAAAGTCATTTATAGTCATTTCGTGGAAGATTTACATGAAAAGTTTGTTGTTACTGTTGGGAAATCTTCAAATGGTTTGAAATATTCTTTGGTTTCAATTGCATCATCTCAAATATTAGAAGTAAACTCATTTGTTAAGGATTCCATTCCAGAAGATATCACTTTTAGTTATATTTCAGGAGTATTATATCAATACTGTGATTCACAGATTATTGCAACCTCAATTGTCAATTTCCAAAGCGTTTCCACAACAAATGTTGCCTCTTTAATTTCTGACAAGTCATTGGTTTCAATTGAAGCAGTTGCACCAGATAGAATCTTATTAGGATCAGGTAACAAGATCCATTTAATCAATATCAAATATTCAGCATTATTATCAACTCTTGAATCTTCGCCAAATGCAAATGTTCCAGATAAAGTATATCTTGATAATGTTGTAACTGTGAAAGGAAATTCTCAAAATACAATGCAATCAAAAGCCATTTATTTGAATTTAAGGAATAAGAATAATAATGTTTATGTAAACATTATTGATTTGAATGTTGGATTGAATAAATTGGTTGAATGTTTAGGTAAGAGTATTAGTCAACCTTCTCATGAATTGACTGATATTGTTGAATTATACAATATAGATGAGGCTGCCAATGTTGCAACCCAAGAAATCCAAGAAGTCTATCAAGAGTTAAAACCAGCTCAAGAATCTCAAGATTTGAATAAATGGGAATCTATTTTGATTCCATATTTAAAGAATAAAAAGCCATGGACAGCGATTAAGAAAGCTTCTATGAAATCTAAACCAACTAGTAAAGTATATCAATTTAAAGAATTTGATGTTGATAATGATAGGATTATTGATATAAATTTCATAAGTTCAGTACTTGATTTAATCTTCACTATTGAAGCCAATGATAAGCTTAAATTTAGAAATGAATCATTTATTCCTGAATATACTTTAATGTATTTATTCACTAATCCAATCTATCCAATTAAATTCACTTTTGGATTATTAGAACTTTTATATAAGATTGAAAACTTGACATTATTAAGACAAGCAATTTCTACATGTCCAAATATCCCTTGTGGAGATTATTTAAATCAATTGATTATAAATGAAGATGAAGATTTATTACATGATTTAATTAATCGTATAATTCAAGAATTCTCAAGAATTGAAATCATTGATAATTTTAAACAAATTGTTCAAATCATGGATGTCAATTTAATTGAATTGATTAATAAATTGATTAAATTGAATGGAACCACTGCTTGGTTATTGATTGAAATGGTTATTGATATTGCTGGGTTGTTTAATTGGTCAGGTGAGAATATTGATGATTTGAATGAAATCATTACTAAGAAGATTAATTCATTAATGATTAATAGTTATAATTTAACTTTAATTAATCAAGTATTAAGTAATTCTACTATACAAAAGAAGAAGAATAAGAAACAGAATCAACTTCAGGAATTATCCATACAACAAACTCAATTGGATTCTATGTTATTGAATAAACCACAGCAACAAGTAATTCAAGATGATGATGATGATTTGGGAATTGAAATTAGTCAAAGAATTCCAAATTATTCAATTGAGAAATTAACTTTATAAGGAATAAGGGGGACTGTATTGTATTTATAAATAATGTATAGAAAAGTACACGTGTATAGTAAAAATAAAAGTAATAATGATAGAATTGATTGTGAGGTGTTATTTTTGATGATAGGGAGTGCCCATACTAGTTATTTGATGGGCCACCGAACCAGGTCTGGATTTTTTTTCCATTGTCCGAAATGAATACTGTTTACTTTTCTTACAAGCCATCCCTGGATGTTGATGTCTGAGGAGAAATCGGCTCATACCACATGTTTAAATGTTTACGGAAAGAGTGGAATCCTGAGCCCCGGCTCGGAATCAATCAAGTCTAGGCAGGCCGTGTTATTTGTGTGGCTGATGGTCTAGGCTTACAAATAGAAACATTTACGAGGCGGGCTGACTCTCCTTAGAAGCATATATCCATTGTCTTCTTGACGTCAACCTTATTTTATGACCGTTTATAGTTGTATTCTGGAACGATAAAGTATAGAACAATCATCTAGAATTCTCAATTAATGCACGAAGCGTAGTCGTGGGGAGGTTTAATCAAGATTATCCATTGTTTTCAGGTTCTTCCGAAAAGCCAGCATAGTTTCGCGTCATCGACTGAATTATTTTTAATCTTATTTCTCGTATTTCATTTTTTTCATTCGATTTGAAAAGGGGGCTGTTTGTTAGTGGAGGTTAAGATCCGCCCAGTGGTATATTGCTCTGATGTTTTTCCTACGAGAACCCCCCAGGAAATTAGTCCTAAGTTTCCGCAGATGGCTATTTCTTTTGTAGAAGATGTAGATGTATCATTAGAGACATTAATTGAGACGTGATACAGTGGATATAGGGGAAGGGATGATGATGAAAAGGGGTCATCGATGGGATTTCGTAAGATAATAAACCATATAATTAATATCCAATTAGAAATTTGAATTGTTGCAACTGAAAAAATATCAACACAAAGGAGGTCTTTAAAAAATAAATTGTGATTGCAAAAAAAAATAATTCAAGTAAATAATTAGACTTGAAACAACTACTTGAAACTCCGTACCACAGAAGGTCGTTTATGTTTGTGTTTCAATGAGCATTTATATCAATTAAGTTAATTTGGTCAAAGTTTTTCCAATTAAGAACTTGTGCATAATCTAAGACTTGTCAAGAAAGTGGGTTCTGTACATATTCCATAAACACTATGAAACTAAGGGAGCCCATCTATTTATTACATCTAAGTGTAATATTGACATTTCTTGCAGTTCTGCAATTTCTGAAAATTACCAATGCAGAAGCTGCATCTCTGGCAGAACCTGATTATTCCTGGGAAACATTATTACCTGCAAGAATAAGGCAAGTTTTTCTGATAACAAAACAATTGACTAGTTTTCACCAATACGTTCAAAATGATATTTTTCTAAATGAAGATGAAACCATGTATATGTTTACTATGGAATTAGGTTCAAATAAGGATAAAGTCCAACTTCAATTAGATACTGGAAGTGGTGATCTTTTGGTTATAAATCAAGGTGCTATATGTAGCAATGATCAAAAACGAAATCCAACCGAAGATTCGTGTCATAGTTGGGGTGTATTTAATCTTGGTTCTTCCAAAACTGTCACGAATACTAATTCCAAAATAACTGCCAGTTTCTTTGATGGTACTCTGTGTACTGGAGATTTTATTATCGATGACATTTATTTTAATAGTAATATTAAAGTCTCACAATTCCAGTTTGCAACAGTTACTAAAACTTCAACTAATAATGGGATCTTAGGAATAGGTCGAGTTGCCCAAGAACTGACACCTCAGAAATATGATAATCTTCCCGTGGCAATGAAAAATTCAGGATTAATTAATAAAATTGCTTATTCATTATATTTAGATAATTCCACCGGTGGTAGTATTGTATTTGGAGGTATTGACAAGGCAAAATATTCCGGAGAATTAGTTTATTTACCATTTGAATCACAACGAATAATTACCGTTAATCTATCTTCAATTGAATTTGAAAATGGAAAATCATTAACAATTGACGATGAAGTCTTGATTGATAGTGGAACAACTTATATAAACGTTTTGCCATCTGTTTTCGATACCATCGTTGATAATTTCAGTTCTGGAGGTACGAGAAAGGGGGATTTGTATATCATAGATTGTGAACAACCAAGTGACAAATTCTTTACCTTTAAATTCAAAGGAGTGGAAATAAAAGTTCCATATACTGATTTAGTCAGTGAAGCAATAGATCAAGATACTAGACAAACCGTTGACAATGTCTGTTTATTAGCAGTTACGGCGAATCCAACAATGACAATCTTGGGTATGAATTTTATGAGACATGCATATCTTGTGTTTGATCTTGAAGATAATAAGCTTGGTATTGCTCCTGTTAAATATACCAATCAAGCATCTATTAATGCATTTTAGAAGTTTAGTTTGGTTTAGTTTTTTGCAGTAGTTTTCAGTTCTGTTATTTTTAGTGTGTTTTCAGTTTATAGGAATCCACATTGTTTAATTAAGGATTACCATGTAGCTTTGTTGACTTACGAATGGTAATCTAAGGACTAATTATCCCAAAGGCACTTTGTCGTTTAAGTTCGAGTTAAGTTTAAAGCAAGTATATGCATGCATTTGACGTTTATGACATATGGTTGCAAAAACCACAAAATTTATGAAAATCAAGGTTTCAATAGTTACTTACTATTGAAATCGTGTTTCAAGCCATATCCTTACATAAAGAGAATAAGTTGATTGGCTATCTCTCATAATTCTATTACTTAAATATCACTCAGAATTTTCTATTCAACTCGTAAAATGAACGTTTCCGTCATTTCTTGGCAATATGGTTTATGGCCTTTACTATTCCCTCAAAAAGAAGTCATCACATACTGAAAGATGCAGTATGTACATCCAAAGTAAAATACTCAGAAAGTCATTCGGGTTGTGGTTGTTTAAACTAAATCCCTTACTTTTTTTAATCCCTGCGGCTTACAGTACTAACAAATAAAAAAGGGGCTGTTGAAGGTACGGACACTGTCTCCAATAATCTAGGGAATACTTATTGAACTCGCTTCCATCGTCTTAAGAGATTCATAGATGGGAGCTTTGAAGTAGAATAACTTAAAGTTTATGTTAGCGTCTCACATTCAACGCGATTCACACCACCCCTTCCACCTGGTTATTCTCTACATTTCAGCAAGTTGTGGGAACCAGCTGTACAGTATTTCTAGTTGCTCCATTGATCTGAACATGTACATTCTGATCATCAAATAATCCAAAATTTCACAAACAAGAAGGTTATGATGTTTCTAAAACTTTAATACCAAAAAAGGGTAAATTAATAACAAGTTAAAGAAAGTATAATAATTTCCCGAAACCAAAACAATTGTGAAACAAAATCATAAACCCCCCCCCCCTACTACTTCAAGCGAAGTCAAAAAAAAAAAGTTTGCCAGCCGGTCTTTCGTTGTTCCCATTTTTTTAAATCTTATTGTTTTAGAATTAGATTGAAGCATAGTAAAATAAACCAACACACGACCTTGGATTATCTTTCATTGTTTAGTAATAAATAAATACATAACGCCAAACGTAACAACAACAACATTAATACATTCTCATCATCTTCACTAGGGATACGTTATACACATCATCATGATTGCCAATTCCACCCATCTTTCCAAACGGATGTTTAGATCCCAACGATTAGTAGTCGTCACAATCCTAGCTGGTTTTGTCACCTTATTAATAATAACCGCCTTAGCTGGCCATCATGGGGGAGAAATTGTTCGAAATGTAAGTAATCGAGTTGGATTAAATGAATATAGTTTTAAAACTAGTGCTGCTATTAATAATGAAGATTTGGATACTGATAGTGATGGGATGGCTGAGGATGTGACTGAACAACATAAAGAAGAACAAGAGGAGGAAGAAGCTGTGAATATGAAGGCGACTGGTGGGGGGAAGGCGAAACCGGTGCTGGATGATAAGGAATTGGCAGAGGAACTTGCAGAGACTGAAAAGGAAGCCTTGGATGCTAAGGAAGAGGCAAAAGCGGAGGCTGAGGCTGAAGCTAAGGCAATAGCTGAGGATTTAGAGGCAGAAGAGGACGTGGAAGCAGCAGCAATAGCAAAGGGTGAAGAGCCATCACTACAAATTTCCACATAAGAAGTTTATGTATATTTATATGTTGATTGATTCTATTAAATTATTTTAGGAAGTATCGTTTTTACACTCCTTTCCAAATCCCTTTTTCAATGTAGGAACCTTTTGGTTTATCTTTTAATAAACCAATCATCATTAATTCATAACAATTTTGAATAAACCAAGAATATGTCATTCTATTCCATTCTTCTTCTCTAATGTCTTCGCTGACCAATTCTTGTTTGTTCAAAGAACTTTTAAACGCATGATAAAAATCATATAGATTGATTTGAACCGGTGCTTCTTTATATACTTGAAATAAAGTTGTTAAAGTCGGAGTTTGGATTGGTTTATTTTTCGGATTTACAATTGGATGATTTAAATATGTTTGACAATTCTCTAAACTCAGTTCAATTGTAGATCTTAAATTTGGTCGTAATAGGTTTATAATTAAATTTTCGAAATTTTCTTCAAATAATGCATTTGTTGTAGTAGATCCACCATTCATGACCCAAATTTCATGAAATATCATATCTTCTAACTTAATAGTTAACAATTCATTATCGAGATATTTATCAAGTATTTGAGAAATTAATTTAAAATCTTGTAATTCACCAATTGATTCATTTAATTCAATAAGTTTTTCATCTTTAATATTTTCCGTGATTTCTTCTTGACAATTATCAGTTAAATCTAATAAAATCCCCCCGATTTCTAAATCAGTTAAATTTGGTAATGTTCGAATTAATTCAGTTAAATATTTTGAATTTAATAATTTTTTATTAATTAATAATTTATATAATTCGAATTTTTGTTTCTTATGACGATAATTATGTTTTTGTAATTGATAGATTACATTAATTGAATTCATGATTGATAATTTAACATTTTGGAATTTTATTTTCGATTCATTAAATAATGTGATTAATGATCTATCACTACATAAATAAGATTTCACTTTGGTATATTGTTTGTTATGGAGTAATGTTTCAATATATTTCTTAAATGAAGGCAATTTCCTTAATCCTTGGATATATAATGAATTCGGGGTGGGATTTTTGGCAATCAAAACCGATAATGGCAGTTGATAAAAATATAACATGCAACATAATTTAATTTCGGCAATTAATGAATCAATTGAATTATTTGAATTTTCAAATCGATTCAAAATTATTGTACTTAAATTATTACTTAATAATAATGGATTCTTATCATTTAATTCAGGAGTTAAGAATAGATTATTAAGGATGATATAACCTAAACTTTTATTATCATTACTTTTGAATTTATATCCATTAATCATAATTCGAAGGTCGTTAGATATATTATTATTTATCCAATTACTAATATTATCACATGATAATCCCATTATTATTTTACAATCAATGGTTTTTGTATATGAGGATAAGACTTTAAGTAACTGATTTAAAACTTGAGAACTAATGGAAATTGTATCTTCAATGACTAATACTAATTTGACTTTTCGAGAAGTTTTCAAAAAGTAATCTTCGATAGTTTCTGGATCATAATTGAGTCTGTTTATTACTTGTTCTTGATGGTCTTCTTCTTCCCCTTCTTCTTCTTCCCCTTCTTCTTCTTCTTCTTCTTCCTCTTCTTCCTCTTCTTTCGCTCCCTTCTTCCGCTTCCGTTCCTTCTCTTCCCCATCAACTAATTCATGAAATTGTTTAACAATCTCCCTCAATGTCGATTTAATATTCGCACAATGTTTCGAATTAATCCTGATCAACATATATTCATAACCATACTTATTATCCCCACCGGCACCCCCAACACCCCCAATCAAATTATAAAATTCTTGTAAAATTCTTAAATTATTAGCAATATTAGTAGTCAATTGAATAAATCCAATCGACAACTTCTCTTTCTCCGATTGATTTATAAATCTTATTAAATTTTGAAATAATTCATCATTGGCATTATTCAATATTGATTCAATCTTATGTAATAATTGTTGATTCCATATTTGTGTATATAATTCATATCGAAATTCAACATCTTTGGCCAGTTCTTTCCCATTGAATAATGATAAAAATGGGGTTTTATGAAGTTGCTTGGGTGGGGGTTTCGGTTGATTGGTTAGTTTGCAATATATTTTATTAAATGTGGAACTGGATGGTTCTGGATTGGGTTTGGATCGTTTTGGAGTAATGTAATAATAGGCTTTTTGATTATTGTCATCTTGAGAAATGGTTGTTGAATCAATTTGATCTGATTCTTCTTCTGATGCTGATTCAATGTCTTCTTCACTTGATGACGATGAGGATGATTCTATTTCTTCCAATTCAGGAGTAATCAGCCTCTTCCTACTGGATCTAGTTGCACGCATTGTTATCTTTGGAGTACCCTTGTTTTGTTGATGATTTGGAAAGTTGGTGGTTTTTTTTTACGACCAGAAATTTTTCATATTTTGGTCACATGATCTTCTCATACAAAATCACGTGATTAAAGATAATCACGTGCAATGATTTTTCGGGTGAAATGAAACAATTTCCCTTTTGGGAAAAGAAATGAAATTATTTCCGGGTATACCTACTTTCAGAGTTTGTGATTGATTAAAGTGAGGGCCGCGGGCTGATGATTGTAATCTGGTTTCTTTTTAGATCCATAGGTGTATAGAATTGAATGGAATCAGTTTGCTTATGGTGATGTGTGTTTATTTGTTCAAAACTTATAGAGATTAATTTTGAGAGAAATTATTTGCAAAAAAAATGAACAAATTTTGAAGTTGTATGATAGAGAGGTTGATTGACAACGATAAATCCGAATTGAAACCAGATGAAACAAGTGACGTCTTACTAAACAATGAAGAAGAAGAAGAAGCATTTTTACCGTATTTAGTTAATAAGTACAGGGTCTTCCTTGTTGCACATATACGAATATGAAATGAATTGTACTTGATAACAATGGGATCAATAGCTTTTGTTTTTTTACTAAGAAAGGGAAGTTAATGATCTTTCTATTTCTTGTTAAATGCATCTTTAGCCAAGTTTTCTATGAAATGAAATTGAAATTGAAGTAAGAAATTGAAATTAAGATGAAATAAATTTTAGTTGGATAGATAATATACGGCATTTATGATGATATTCCCGAGGTTCTATATATGGGGAGAATGGAGGAGAGGGAGCAAAAATCTATGTTGAATCATACCTGGTAAGGAACTACACTGTATGTGTTGATATAAATTGTAGATTGTGGTACGACTAATGGTGGAGATATAGAACTTGTAGTATCTAACGTTGTTTATATTAACCCTCCCCTCCAGAATGATCAAATTCTTTTCTGGTAATTAAATTAATTGCAGTAATCATATTGTGAAGTCACATGGTAAAAAAAAAAAAAATATTAATTATTCCGGGTGTAGTAGTAGTAGTTCTATTGTTCTTCTTTATAAAACGATTTAACTGGCTGTTGTTACAAATAATAATTTGATTTCGAGATCAATCAATGTGTAAAATGTTTATACTAAGGATTTACATAATCCATTTTAAATATAGAAAGGTTTATAGTTTAAAGAATTTAGAATTTAAATTAATATAAAAAGGTTAATAAAATTCCTTCTTTTATTTTTCTTCCTTATTGTAAACCCCCCCTTAATTTAAATTAATTTACTTAATCAATTGACTTTAATTCCCCCTCCATTGTTTTCCTATCAGTTGAACAACTTACACATTTCATACATACTTCTTTTTTTCACATTACCATCTTAGTATTACTGAGATAGACACTACTACTACTAGTATACCTTATCATGTCTTACGATACTACTGCTGCCAACCCCATGGTTGATACAATCCCACCACTTGCTCCCCACCAACAAGAAGAAGAATCTCGGGAAAAGTCAATTGAAATAATCTCGGAGAAAGAATTAACTAATTCTACTCCTAATTCTCAACATAGTAATGATACTTCCAAAAGTCCTTCATTAGAAGCAATTCAAGTTAAAATATCTAAATTTTGTTCAGATGTTGACCTTGAGAATAAGAAACAATCTATAGTTTCTTCACAAGATTTATCCGACAATGAAGAACTGGAGGAACAACTGGAAGAATTCGTTGATTCTAATTTACAAGAGACTGCTACTACTGAATCAGTTGGAGAACCAGTCAAGAAGTTAACTTCTAATTTAAATGAAAGTGGTGATGATAAATTTATTTTTTCATCACAAATTCCCACGGTTATCAAGAGCGCCGCATCGAAACATCAAGAACCGGATTTGATTGCTAAGAATTCTTCGTACGCCCACGTTGTCAACACAACAACGGCCGATCCTTCCATCGAAGAAGAAGAAGAAGACCAAGAATTGGAAGAATCAAAAGAAGACAAGGAACCAGGATCCGAAGAAGCTGAAGAAGAAGACACACCCAAAGGAATAGCAACAGAAGAAATGGATCAACCAGAAACTCCTAAAGACCAAGAATTAAAGGATGTTGAAGCAAAACTTGAAGAAGCTCATCATGAATTAGAGAATGCTGAAAATAAAGTAAAAGAAGCACTTCAAGAATTAAAAGAAGCTCATATCAAGGAAGTAGTTCCGGAGGAACCCAAGGGCAAAGAAGAATCAGAAGAAGAACCCAAAGACAAATCCGTTACAGTTGTTGAACAACGTGACATTAAGAAAGACACTACTACTGACGAAATCTCAACTGTTCTTCGTAGAAGAAAACAACCAGAGCAACCAGAACAAGCTTCTAAAGAAGTAGAAGTCTCTCAAGGCGATGAAATCAAATCTTCCACCTCCGAAATTGAATTCACCGATGCCAATGAACCACTCCCACGTTCTGATTATTCTACCCCAGTTGCTGAAATTACCAATATCGATGAAATTTCCTCTATTGAAGAAGAACCAGAACAGGAACCTACTACCACCAAAAAACCTACCGAAAACCCCACAACCAAACTCAAATCAACCCCATTAAAGAAATCAACCTCACGTCCATTCTTACACATCGCCCCCTTAAACACCCCTTGGTCCCATCGATTAGAAACAATTGGAATAATGTGGCATTGTATAAGTATCCCCTTCTTCCTTTGTTTATTTTTCTTTTCCATATCAATGGGGTGGATGGTTTGGTTATTTATAATATTACCCTATTTCATTTGGTGGTATGCTTTTGATTTACATACTCCTACTAATGGAAAAGTTGTATATCGTGTTCGACCATGGATGCAGAATTTGATTATTTGGAAATGGTATACTGATTATTTCCCCATAAGGGTGCATAAATCGGTGGAATTGGAACCGACATTTACATATGTCTTGGAGGAGGAGAAGTCAACAGAAGGTGAATCGAAGAGTTCTTCTTCGGATGAAGAGGAGAATGATGAACAGGATTTGATAAGTGAAGATTCCAGGACTTTTATCGATAAAGTATTTAAATTAATTGGATTGAAAAAAAGAGTGAATGATTCCGATAAGGGTACTGCAATTGCAGAAACTAAGGGACCTAAATATAAAAAAATCCTCACGGGTCCAAGATATATCTTTGGATATCATCCTCATGGAGTCATATCAATGGGAGTGGTTGGAATGTGTGCCACCAACGTGTTAAGAAATGAACCATTTAAACCATTGTTTAAATTCTTAAAACCGTTATTTCATGATCCTTCTAAAAATGAACCATTATTCCCTGGGATTCCTCAAATATTCCCATTGACTTTAACTACTCAATTTCTTGTACCTTTTTATCGTGATTATTTGTTGAGTTTGGGGTTGACTACTGCTTCGGCGAAGAATATTAAGAGTTTGATTAATAATGGTGATAATTCAGTTTGTGTTGTGATTGGTGGGGTGAAGGAATCATTATTGAATTATATGGTGGCGGAGAATCCAAGGGTTGGATATGGATTTACTACTTCTGATTTAAAAGCCCATGAAGAGCTGGAACCAGAACATGAAGAACATGAGGAAGAAAAACCAAAAGAACCAAAAAAGGAACGCAAAGAAGTTAGATTAGTATTAAAGAATAGAAAAGGTTTCGTTAAATTAGCAATTGAATTAGGTAATGTTTCATTAGTACCAACATTTGCATTTGGTGAAGCTGATATTTATAAATTAACCGTTCCAACCCCTGGATCTTTAGGTGAAAAATTTCAATTGTTTATTAAGAGTATTTTTCAATTTACGGTTCCATTTTTCAGTGCAAGAGGGGTCTTTATTTATGATTATGGGATTTTACCATATCGTAATCCGATTAATATATGTACTGGTAGGCCAATTTATATCCCACCGGGTGCTTTACAGGATTATTTGAAAGAACATCCAGAAGAGCAGGAGGAAATTAAGAAGGAAGAGGTAAAGGCTGAAGTCAAAATGGAAGAGAAGAAGGAAATAACAAAAGAACACAAGGAAGAAGGTCATCACCATCATAATTTTGAAGCCGATGAACAAGAAAGTAAGAAATTTGAAGAAAAATTTGAAAAACCAATCTTTTTCAATGCTCTTAGACCAGCAGCATTAAAATCTTCAATTCATACTAAGATTCCTCAAGCTTTATTGGATAAATATCATGATTTATATGTTGAAGAATTATATCGAGTATTTGAAGAAAATAAAGAAAAATATGGTTATGGAAATGTTGATTTAAGGATTATTTAAGTTGCTTACCCTACCCTCCTACTCTATATATCTTTATATATGGCCCCCTTAATATTTATTATGTTACTGATTACCATCTCTACATAGATTTTGTATTGTTATTCTTTTATCAAATTCCATACTTATATACTATCTACGCATAAACTAACTGCTTAAAAACTCATCAATAAATATTAAACCTTAACCAAAAACCATTCATAAGCTTATTCATATATGATTTCAAATTCAACCTCTTCATCTTCATCGAGAAGACCTTGTTGTTGTTTTTGTTTCTTCTTCTTTTGTTCTTGTTCATATTCATAAACCATTCGATCTCTCTTGTCAGTCAACATCTTATAATCTTTATATAATTTACGATCAAATCTTCTTCTACTACCAACATTCCTATAGAATGATTTATTTGGTCCCAATTGCTTTTCAAATTCTTTAATTTCTTGATCTAAAGCTTCCAATTTCTTTTGAGATTCTTGTTGTTTGGCCAACATTTCTTGTTCCCATTTCTTAAATGTAAATGGTTCTTGTTCATATGGAGGAACTCCAAACAATTTATTTTTTGGTATAACATTCCATAAATAATCATCCTTAATTTTATCTAAATCACGATTCAATGGCATCATTCCTGATATGGATTTCTTTAATGGATGGGTCGGCGTCATCATCCCATCTTCACCAATAGATGCCATTGTGTATCTCATGCTTAATAATTGAGTATCAGTCTCTGGTAGGTTTAAATTCACCATTTTATCTATTTCTTCAACCATACGTTTATCTTTTTGACTTATTACATTCACGGGTTTGGGTTTTAAGTGTTCTTGAGGAATTTCAAAATCAATAAATTTATCTGGTTTAGGAGTTGAAATTATTGATGATGATGTAAATGGGACTTGGATACCAAATCTTTTAAATAATGATTCTTCACTTTCATTTCTGATATCATCTGGCATTTGTGGGAATTGACTGAATGGGATGAAATTCTTCTTATTTGATTTATCTTTTGATGTTGCTGTTGTTGTTGTTGTTGACGCACGTAATGGTTTGCGTTTATTTCTTCCTTGAACATTGACTACTTCTATCTCTACTTCTTCTTCTTTAGGAGTCGTTGTTGCTGTTGGTTCTTCTTTGCTTTGCTTCTTTGGAAGTGATTTTAATTGATTTGATAATTCCAATCCATCAGTACCTTTGCCATTTGGTTTGCTTATAAATCGAACCGCTCCAATCAGGGGAATAGCCCGACAAGAAGACAAAACTGAAGCCATCCTCATAGCAGGAGTTCTTGTATATGATGCGAGCATAGTTAGCTAGTGAGCGTTTAGTATATATATTTGAGTTATTCCGAAATGAAACGTTACAATTAAACTAGAGTGACTGTCTTTACCTAACTTGTAAATCAAATGAATGGAAGTTTTTTTCTGTCTGACCAATGTGAGTCTTTTACATGTTACGTTCAATTTTACATTTTATAATTTATTTTACAGGTTTTATAATATTCCGAGTTTTATTTTTACAGTTTAAACCCTTGCAGCGAAAAAAACTAAAATTTTTTTTTCCACAGTTTTTCCTGATAAACAAAGAGGTTGAGGCAGGGACATCGTGGGTTTTCAGGAATATCAACGGAACATTTGGTTATTCCTTTTTTTATATAGTAAAACATATTGCAAAGAATAATTTAAGTAAACTCATTAAAATGTCAATTCATAGATCGGATAAAGTTGATTTCACTCAATTACCTCATCATTTTGATGATAAAGTAACTTTAGCAGTTATTGGAGGTACTGGATTATATGATTTACCAAATTTACATCCTGTGGCAAGATTAACCATTTCTACTCCTTGGGGATTCCCTTCTGGCCCAATCACAATTTCTAGAACTGAACTGGGATTCCCAGTTGCGTTTTTAGCGAGACATGGACCACATCATGATTTATTACCTTCTGATGTCCCCAATAGAGCTAATATTGCTGCTTTGAAAAGCTTAGGAGTTAAAGCTATTATTTCATTTTCAGCTGTTGGTTCATTACAACCAGAAATTAAACCTAGGGATTTTGTATTACCTACTCAAATCATTGATAGAACTAAGGGAATCAGACCATCTACTTTCTTTGAACATGGATTTGTTGCTCATGCAATGTTTGGTGAACCATTTGATTTAAGATTGAATAAATTGATTAGTGATCATATTCCTTCTAGTGGATTCTTAGAAGGAGAACAAAATTCTCATAATCATGCTCCTATTTTACATAGTAAAGACCATACCAACAATGGTGAAGATTTAACTATTATTTGTATGGAAGGTCCACAATTCTCAACTAGAGCTGAATCAAAATTATATAGAACTTGGGGTGGATCAGTTATTAATATGTCAGTGTTACCAGAAGCTAAATTGGCAAGAGAAGCTGAAATCGCTTATCAAATGATTTGTATGTCTACTGATTATGATTCTTGGAATGAATCAGAAGAACCAGTCACCGTGGAAACTGTTGTTGGTAATTTAAAAGCTAATTCTGCTAATGCTTGTAAATTAGCGGCAAAATTAATTGACGTGGTTGCTGAACATGGTGACGAATTGGGTTCAGAATTGGCAGGGTCAATGAAATTTGCAGTTAGTACTAATCCTAATGGAGTCAAAAAGGAATTGTTAGAAAAGATGCATTTCTTGTTCCCGGGATATTGGCCAATTCATTGATTTTAATCGGTAATTGACGGATGCCCCACCTCCCTCCATTACTGATACCCCTTGCTGAGACGGCTATTGTTGGAAAAAGTGTGTGTAATAGATTTGTATCTTTTAGTTTAGTTTTTTAGATAGAGATCAATAGAAATTCAGTATTATCTAAACTTTAAAATAAATTAAAAAGTGTGGAGTCAATTGTAAACCACCACAGATATAGTTGCTAAATGCATGCAATTCGTAAAACGACGGCTCGCTTTGAAGAGAATAGAGCCACTCATCCACTTCTTTCTCTTTGTTTTAATTTATTTTATATCCATTATTATTCATAATTATAGTTTTTGAAGCCGTTTGATGGAATGGAAATATATTCCCCCTTCGGAAAAAGCCACTCCATTTCTTCGAGATACAAAAAAGCCTACTAATAATTAGGAACAGCAATTTAATGCAAATAATCTTTTGAGATATCGCTTGGACCTTTGTACTTGTGTTCGTCCGCATCAACCAGCCGTTTCGATTATTAATCAGATGAAAGAACTGCGAAAGGTCCACTCAAAGCAAATAAGGAATTATAAATAGATCTACGATATACGCTACGCTTATACAAAACAATAAACATAAACAAGTACCTAAAAATAAAATCAGAAGGGCAAAAAAATATTCCACTACGCAACAACATGGTTGTTCTCACCCTCGCCAATTTCAAATGCCACCCCCTCGCAATACTCATGGGTGGGCGAAGATGTTATCGCTTATAAACTTTGCTCTTATCTTTTTAAACTCCTCTAAAAGATAACCCAAAATACGATAGATAAGTGCGGAGGCATCATATGTTTTTAAACTCGTAGCTAACTAAAATAGCAAACGACCTTTCCTGTCTTTTTCTAACGCCTTACGAGAAGTGGACTATGGTGTTTTCGGGGTTTAAACATTAAAAGAAACTCATGGCGGGACTTTGCACCACTTGGTCTCTTGGGAGACGATGTAGAGATCATTGCTCGGCATATTAACGCCTCAAATCTTTAATTAAAGTTCGGCTTGAAATGCAATTTGGAATAATCTGACGGTCCTTCCGATGGGACGGCTTCAAATTCACGTGATCGCCAGGAACAATTTTTTACCAGAACAATGGAAAATGCTACATAACAATATGCAAAAAGAAACTTTAAGAACAATAGAAATTCCGTACGGCATGAAGCACAAAATTGATAAACATAATATTTTTTAGACTTAAATTGCAGGACAATAATATTTTTTAATAAAATGCCTTATTGATTCATAAAATGGGTAGATTTTTTAATGGGTGTCAAGGAATATTTTTTATTTTATGGAAAAATATTAATAATTATACGCAAGTCGGTTTGCTTATTTCGGAAATCATCCACGGGAAAATTAAAAAGAAACTGACAAAACGCCCTAATTTCTTTAGTAGTTTTAAGCTGGATTGCAGCACTGTCACAAATTGTCTAAATTCTCCACATCCGGGCTTAGCGAAATTATTGTGAATCATGACAATCAATCTCTTAGCAAATTAGAAACAATTAAGTTTGTTCTGATAAGCTTCATTTCTTTTTTTTGTGTCCTACCGGAATTATTTTTAACCTTCACTGTCATTAAAAATTTTTCCACTTTGTTGAACAAATGTCCGGCTATATAAATGTTGACATATATTCCAAGAAATAGTTTTAAGCTTTCTAGGTTTTTTTTTTCTTATTTTATTGTGAAATTTCTTGGTTTATATCAGGTAATTGAATTAAACTATACTTTTGTCAATTCTAGGAAACGACAAAAATAATCTAATAATTACAATTAACAAAGAAAAAATGTCTGCCGACGAAAAGGTTGCAAATGACGCTTTGGATAAAGTTTTATCCAACAATGAATTGACTGGTTCAAGTATTGGTGGTGGATTCGAAGAAGATGAAGGCAGAGAACCAACCGAATTAGAAATGAAGACATTAAGACATGTTTCTGCTCCAATGCCATTAAGATGTTGGTTAGTTGCTATTGTCGAATTAGCTGAAAGATTCTCATACTATGGTTTATCAGCTCCATTTCAAAACTATATGCAAAATTCCCCAACTGATTCTCCACCAGGTCTTTTAGCTTTAAATCAATCAGGTGCTACTGCTTTATCTTATTTCTTCCAATTTTGGTGTTATATTACTCCAATCTTTGGTGGTTGGGTTGCTGATACTTATTGGGGTAAATATAAAACCATTTTCTGGTTTTGTATTCTTTATATCATTGGTATTTTCATTTTATTTATTACTTCCTTACCAGCCATTACTTCCAGAGCTACTGGTATTGGTGGTTATGTTGCCGCCATTATTATCATTGGTATTGCTACCGGGGGTGTCAAATCTAATGTTTCTCCATTAATTGCCGATCAAATTCCAAAGACTAAACCAGCCATCAAGGTTCTTAAATCTGGTGAATTAGTCGTTGTTGATCCAAATATTACCGTTCAAAACGTTTTCATGTTCTTTTATTTGATGATTAATATTGGTTCTTTATCTGTTATTGCCACTACTGAATTAGAAGCTCATGTTGGTTTCTGGGCTGCTTACTTGTTACCATTCTGTTTCTTCTTCGTTGCTATCGGTGCTTTAATCCTCGGTAGAAACCAATATATCAAAGTTCCAGTCGGTGATAAGATCATTAACAAGTCCTTCAAGTGTGCTTGGATTGGTGTTACTAACAAATTCAACTTGGATGCTGCCAAGCCATCATTAAACCCAGAAAAGAACTACCCATGGTCCGACCATTTTGTTGAAGAAGTTAAAAGAGCTGTCTATGCTTGTAAGGTTTTCGTTTTCTATCCAATCTATTGGGTCGTTTATGGTCAAATGTTGAACAATTTCGTTTCTCAAGCTGGTCAAATGGAATTACATGGATTACCAAATGATTTCTTACAAGCCATTGATTCTATTGCTATTATTGTGTTTATTCCAATTTTCGAAAGATTCGCATATCCATTCATTAGAAAATTCACTCCATTTAGAGCTATTACCAAGATTTTCTTTGGTTTCATGTTTGGTGCTGGTGCCATGGTTTATGCTGCAGTTTTACAATATTACATCTATAAAGCTGGTCCATGTTATGACTTCCCTAAGGCTTGTGCTGGTTTTGAAAACGTCCCAAACCATGTCCATGTTGCCATCCAAACTCCTGCTTATGTCTTAATTGCCATTTCTGAAATCTTAGCTTCTATTACTGGTTTAGAATATGCTTATACCAAGGCTCCAGTTGCCATGAAATCATTCATTATGTCTATGTTCTTGCTTCAAAACGCTTTCGGTTCTGCTTTGGGTATTGCCATGTCTTCCACTTCTGAAGATCCAAAGATGGTTTGGACTTATAGTGGATTGGGTGTTTCTTGTTTCATTGCCGGTTGTTTGTTCTGGATCTTCTTCCATCATTACAATGACAAGGAAGAAGAACTCAATCAATTGGAATACGACGCTGACGAAGCTGAAGCTCATCAAGTTGATTTGGTTCCAGTTGTTTCCTTAGCTCAATCTCACAAGAGTCTTGCTTAAAACGTTTTAATTCGATAGATATACCTTTTCAACCTTGTATATTATTTAGTTACCTATTTTATTTCTTACGATCATGTCCTTTTTAGTTTTATCTTAATAGATATTTTTAATTAACAATTTATTTGTAGAAGAAGAAAAAGAAGAAGGTGTTGCATGGCTTTGGGATTTGCAGCCATTTTATTTTTATTCATACTTTTATTTTCTTCGGTTGCGGATAATTTTAAGCTTTATTTTTTCTGTCGGTTATTCCAAAAGAAAAAAAATTAAAAAATAAAAAAAAAAATGTCTGGCCATTCAAAAAAAAAAAAAAAGGAAAGCTCCGTGAATGATACAAGAAATTGGAAGATCGGTGAAGAAGCCTCGTGGTTTTATATATGTTTGTCAATCTGACATGGATATGACTTAACGTACATAAAAAGTGGTTGAATCTCATTTCGTTATAGTCTGGGGGGAGAAATCTCCGCAGATTTGTGTAGTTGCCGCGCGTGGAAAAAGGATGCATGTGGATGGACCTACGGAGAGAGAACAAAACGACGCACGTAAAGCGAGATAGAGTATAGAAAACACGAGGGATCTAATGTCTTCTGGTCATTCATGAGATTCTTCTTCCCCAGAATATGTCTTCTTACAATACCCCAGGGTTCTTATATACAAATCTGAAAAGTAACCTGTTTGCGAAATTGGCGAATGAAAGATAGAGTTCATGAGTTATGTCATCATACGTTCTGATGCATTAGATCGCCAGAAATGCCTTCAAATTTTTGTTATCAAGGGATGGAAGGGGAACTGGGATGATGGCAATGTTTCACGCACACCACACCCACATTTTGATTGGGGGGACTCAATGAAACATATAAGGTTACAGTCTCACATTTAACTCTTAAACTGACCTCAACAATGAACACAAAAAATTAACGTTATTAATAGTTTTCTTACTTTTTTTTCCGCAGTTTCACTTTCAATACGTTCATATTTATTTTATATCCAAGAAAAATCTTTTGGTTGCAGAAAATTGCAAAACTTGCAATAGAAAAAAAAAACATCATGCATATCCAAAAAATAATATTTTTTAGTCTAAAAAAAGCGGCATTTCCCTATTATCAAAGTTTAATACAGACGATTATTGCAAAAATAAAAAACCCTATTTTTATAAATTTTGATTTGAAATTAATGGGTGATTAGTCACTTAAAAGTCTTATGGGTTTTGTGATTGGCCCGCATATCCTTATCAAAAAGAAGGAGATTGGAGAGAGAATGAACCGTCAAGTATAAATATCCCATAGAAAGTATTCTGTTTTTGAATTTCATGTTTTTCTTATAATTTATATTTGTTAACGTTACATTTTTATCTTTACAAAATCTAACTTACTCATTCTTATAAAACTACATACTATTATACTACTCCTACTACTACTGCTACTGCTATTATTAATTCATAATGTCGAAGAGTGATGATAACGAAAAGACAGCTGCTGATCAAGTTAGCTCTCCAGAAGAAGATATCTTATCCATTTCCAATGAAAAAGATGAAGGTAGAGAACCAACAGATTTAGAATTAAAAACATTAAGACATGTTTCTGAAACAATCCCATTACGATGTTGGTTAGTGGCGATTGTTGAATTATCAGAAAGATTCAGTTATTATGGTTTATCAGCACCATTTCAAAATTATATGCAACATACTCCAACTGATTCTCCAAGAGGAATGTTAGGATTAAATCAAAAAGGTGCAACTGCTGTTTCATATTTCTTCCAATTTTGGTGTTATGTTACTCCAATCTTTGGTGGTTGGCTTGCTGATACTTATTGGGGTAAATTTAAAAGTATCTTTGTCTTTTGTTGTATTTATGTTGTTGGGATTTTAGTATTATTAATTACTTCAATTCCTTCAATTACAAGTCAAAAAGTTGCCCTTGGTGGATTTATTGTTGCCATCATTATTATTGGTTTGGCAACTGGTGGTGTTAAATCAAATGTTAGTCCATTAATTGCTGATCAAATCCCAAAACATAAACCATATATTAAAGTAACCAAATCAGGTGAACGAGTTATTGTTGATCCAAATATTACCATTCAAAATGTTTTTATGTTCTTTTATTTGATGATTAATGTTGGATCATTGTCAGTTATTGCTACAACTCAATTAGAACATAATATTGATTTCTGGGCGGCATACTTATTGCCATTCTGTTTCTTTTTGATTGCAATTGTATGTCTTATATTAGGTAGAAATTATTATATTAAGACACCAGTTGGTGATAAGATTGTTAATAAAACCTTTAGATGTGCTTATATTGGTATGAAGAATCATTTTAATTTAGATGCTGCTAAACCTTCAATTAATCCTGAAATGAATTATCCTTGGACTGATCATTTTGTTGAAGAAGTTCGAAGAGCAATCTATGGTTGTAAAGTGTTTGTCTTTTATCCAGTATATTGGTTAGTTTATGGACAAATGGTTAATAATTTCATTTCACAAGCTGGTCAAATGGAATTACATGGCATTCCTAATGATATTTTACAAGCAATTAATTCTTTAGCAATTATCATTTTTATTCCAATTTTTGAAAGATTCTTATATCCTTTTATTAGAAGGTTTACACCATTTAAATCAATTACTAAAATCTTTTTAGGTTTCATGTTTGCTGCTGCTGCCATGATTTATGCTGCTGTTTTACAACATTATATTTACAAAACTGGTCCATGTTACAATTTCCCTAAAGCTTGTCCTGGTTATGAAAATGTTCCCAATAGAGTTCATGTTGCTATTCAAGCCCCACAATATGTATTGGTTTCCTTATCAGAAATCTTTGCTTCTATTACTGGGTTAGAATATGCTTATAATAAGGCACCAGCATCAATGAAATCATTTATTACTTCTCTTTTCTTGGTTACAAATGCTTTTGGTTCTGCTTTGGGTATTGGATTATCTTCAGTGTCAGAAGATCCAAAGATGGTTTGGACTTATACTGGTATTGGTATTTCTTGTTTTATTGCTGGTATACTATTCTGGGTTCTTTTCCATCATTATAATGATATTGAAGAAGAACATAATAAATTGGATTATACTAATGATGATGAAACAACAACAACAACAACTGATGAAATTTCTGCAACTAATAATACTAATGGATTAGTTCCTGTTTCTTCATTTGCTCATTCTACAAAGAGTCTTTTGTAATAGAGATTAATAGATGATTGTCAGTTTGACTTATTGCTTGTACTTTTTAATTAATTAGTTTATTTATCGTTTATATATATATATGAAGCATCATTATATTATGTTATATCATATGCTTTCAAATGGAATACATGTGTAGATTTCAATTGTGGTTTTTTTTTTTGCAACAATTGAATTCTTCTTAATTCCCAGATTGCTTCCTTGTGTCTGCAACAATAAAGACTTTTCTTTGAGAAGCTTTGATATACATATACAACCTTCAAATGGAAGGTTAGAGGATGATGGTATTAGAGAACATCTTTCGATATTAGTAGAGAGATAAGCGCGGCTACTTAGAAGCAAACAACATATATATAATGTGATAATTATATTGATAATTTACTTTTTCGTTCTTGTGATTTTGTATCTAATACGATTTTTTTGTAGTAATAATTTGTTAATAAGTAATTAGAAGAGGTTGATGAGTTGGTTGGTTTATGAGAATTGATTGGTAAAACTTAATTTGTATGTAAAAAATTATGAGACGCGTCTATTTTTTAAGGTTACGTAAATTAATAAATGAAAAAATTGAAAAGAAAAAATCTCAATTCTTTAATTTTTGATTAGGAGAGAGAACCCTTGATTTACGATAGTTCAATCAATCAAATTCTATTAATAGACGACATAGAGACACTAGATAGACATCGAGACATATATACACTCTGCAATGGAAGAACTACTACCTGTACAAGAAACACAACCAACCCAACAATCACCAATCACTCAAACTCAAGACACCAACAATACCAATATTCATCTAGCAGATGAATCAGATAAGAATATGATCTGTAGAATGATCTGTACTACAGGTCAATTCTCTCCATATACATTATCAACATTGGATAAAGAAATAGATGAAAACGATAAAATGATTTGGATCTTTGGTAGATCTCATGATTGTGATTTACGATTAGATTCATCAAGTAGATTTTCAAATAAACATTTTCTGATTTGGTTAAAAGCAAAAGATAAATCTTTATGGATTAGAGATACTTCAACTAATGGAACTTATTTAAATGGAACACGAATAGTTAAAGGAAGTAATTATATCTTAAATCAAGGTGATGAAATCTCAATTGGACTTGGTGTTGAACAAGATATTGTTAGATTTATTATATTATTTTCTGATGCATATAATCCAATTAAATTATCAACTTCTTCCAATTCTTCGAATGGAATCGGGGTGGCGACAGAAGGGATCTATAAGGATTTTATAATTCAAAATGAAACCATAGGACAAGGTGCATTTGCCACTGTTAAAAAGGCAGTTGAAAGAACTACGGGGAAACCATATGCCGTTAAGATCATAAACAGAAGAAAAGCATTGAATACCGGTGGTGGTGGAGCTATGGCAGGTGTAGATCGTGAATTGTCTATCTTACGGAAATTAGATCATCCAAATATCGTATCCCTTAAAGCGTTTTATGAAGATATGGATAATTATTATATTGTTATGGAATTAGTCCCCGGAGGTGATTTAATGGATTTTGTAGCCGCTAATGGAGCAATTGGAGAAGACGCTACACAAGTTATAACTAAGCAAATATTAGAAGGAATAGCATATGTACATAAATTAGGGATATCACATCGAGATTTGAAACCAGATAATATTTTAATTATGCAAGATGATCCAATATTTGTTAAGATTACTGATTTTGGATTGGCTAAATTTAGTGATAATTCAACATTTATGAAAACTTTCTGTGGAACTTTAGCATATGTTGCACCAGAAATCATTACTGGGAAATATGGACTGCTGCAACAACAACTGCCTCATGATAATTATTCTTCATTAGTGGATATGTGGAGTTTAGGATGTTTGGTTTATGTATTATTAACATCTCATTTACCATTTAATGGGAAAACTCAAGCACAAATGTTTCAAAAAATAAAACAAGGTGAATTTCATGAAGCTCCATTGAATTCATATGAAGTTAGTCAAGATGCAAGGGATTTCTTAAGTTGTTGTCTACAAGTAAATCCTCGATTACGTATCACTCCACAAGAAGCCCTTAATCATAAATGGTTACAAGATATTTATTCTCAAGAAGATTCCGCTGGACCACAAACTCAACCCAAATCCTTAAGTCTATCACAATCACAATCTCAACAATCAAGAAAGATCGATAACGGAATACCTATAGATACATCCATGAGTAAAATAGATGAAGATATAATGTTGAGACCTTTGGATAGTGAACGGAATAGAAAGAATAAAAATCGAACTAACAGTAGTCATGATTTTAAAGTACCTAAACGTGTTGTTCCACTACCTCAACAACAACATCCATTTACTCAACCACCAAGACAATATGGAAAACATCCAGCTGCACTTGATGAAATTAGTCTAAATCGGAGTTTTAAACGTACGAAAATATCCCAAACTCAACTTCCAATTCCATCACCGGGTTTTACATCACTTCTGGGCATTTCCGAAGAAAAATCAAGTATTCTACAAGAATCAGGTCCGATTTTGACATTAGAACCAATTATGGATTCATTATATAGACGACGGATCCAAATCGGGGGTGGGACTAATGGAGTTTCGATTGGTCGTGGGGAGAATTGTGATTATTATATTAATGATGATCGAATGTCGAAGTTTCATTGTTTGATATATAGAGATAATGAACCAAATCAATCGTTTTGGTTATTGGATGTGAGTACGAATAGTTGTACTGTGAACGATACTATCATTGGGAAGTTCAAGAAGGTGAAATTACGAGGTGGAAGTGTTTTGTATTTGTTTAAGGATCTTGATGGCGGGGAGAGAATTGGGTTTAAGGTTGTAATTGACGGTGGTGATGATGAGGAGGGGGAGGACGATGAGGAACAAGAAGAGACAAATGGCAGGGGGGAGATTGTTGTGATTGATCAGGATGCATTTGATGAAGAAATGGTAGGCAAGGTTGCCAAACATGTTAGTAAGATGTAGGATATATCGGATTTGGCTTTATACAGACTTATATACAGTAAAATACAAGTAAAAACTTCTTCAGTAGCTCAACTAGTTTTCTCTCCAGGTGATGATTTGTTGATGATCTAATGGAATTGGATTGTCAATACATAACATCCCGATATTGTACTTTGGAAAATCAATTAAAAATTGTAACAATCGTAATCTTAACCTATTACAATATTCATCCAATTCAACACTATCCAAACCTTCTTGTTTCAATTTCACATATTCACTAATATCCTCAATCAAATTTCTTTCCAAACAAGCAATAATCAATTCTTGTTCATCAAGATTCCATAAATTATCTTCTCCACTCAATCCACTCAAATAATAATTATCAACTCGTAAATAATTCAAATATTGTTGTAATCTAACCCGTAACATATTCTCAGGATATAAAGAAATCGGCACATATCGACTAGTCAATCTCAAAGATTGACTTAATAATTTGAGTCGGGCATAATCGAGATTATATGCCGTTTTTAATGCTAAATCAATCTTACGTTCATCATTCAATGATTCGGCCGATTTATGGAGATGTTCGCGGGGTGTAGGGGGATAGATCTTGGGAAGGAGCTGGGGGAGTATACATGTCCTAGGGGACAATTCTGGGATGAGGAGACATAATAATGGGGTAAGTTCTTCGAATATTAAGAATGTAACGGCGAATAATGGAAGTTTGAGTGAGTCTTTGGGGGATCGTTTGAGGATTTGGTATTCTTGACGAGAGAGCGAGAATAGGTTTGGATCGATTAGGGTGGCCTGGGAGGTGGATTTGCTATTGGGTGCGGTAGGAGCACTAGGGGAAGACGATTGCCTCTTGACATAGGTTGAGCTGTCTTGTTGTTGTTTGGATATCTTATCTTGAGATACTTTATGTTCAACTTTACTCATATACATTGATTGTGCCATTATTTCGGTTAATTTAGGGAAATTTGGTAACCTGATAGCAACTGATTTACCCTTAGCATCTAATTGGTTTGATATCTTATATTTATGTTTCTTTAATTGTCTCATGGTTTTTAAATTGGTCCATACATTATTAATACCTATACGATAAAACTTAAGAAGTTCTTTAGCATAATGATACAATTGTTTTGATTTGAGTATAAGTTTCCCCTTAGTTGGGTTTTCTTGTGTTACTTGTTCATATACTTGTTTCTTAGGTCTAATAGGTATTGGTATAGTAGTTGGTGAGTTGATATTACTACTTTCAGAGTTATTTGTATTAGTTTTCCATAATGAAGTGAGCAATTGAGATTGATTTATTTGGGAAAGTAGTTTCTGTTTATTGCTTGGAAATGTATAGAATACACCATACTTTACTCCACTTGGTACTACCATCTTCTCTATTCTATTACTCTCTACTGTTTACTGTAGCCGTCTATCATCTGTCCATCTTTCTAAAGGAATTTTTTAAATTTTCAAATTTTATTTTTAAATCACGTGATTTTTGAGATCCTTTCAATCCCAATGAATTTTTATAGGAAGATTATTAATAGCAACTATTAACAGTTCCTTTAAAGTACACACCAATAGAACAATAGTAACAAGAAGAAACAAGAATGAGTAAACCAACCAGAAGAATAACATCACCAGAAGATTTAACTAAGTGGATAGAATCAGATACTTATAATCTTTTATTAAACTTCATTCAATCATTACAAGATCTGATTCTTGGTAAAACAAATGATGATTCTGAAGTTATTATATCAACCACAACCACCAATTTATTAAACATCCTAAATGAAGTAGATGCAACTATAGATAAACATCCAGTTGTTATTGATAAAGATATATCTCGATTTGGTAAGGTTGAATTCCGTGATTTCTATGATCATCTTTCTCAATCCTCACAAACATTATTATCCCGCTTAACTTCCAATCCAGATGATTTAATTGAATTGGGAACTTATTTCCAAGAATCATGGGGTAATAGAACCAGAATAGATTATGGATCTGGACATGAATTAAATTTCATCACATTCCTCCTTTGTCTTTCACAACTCAATATCATCACTTTGGAAGATTATCCCGCGATAATATTACACGTGTTTACTAAATATATGACTATCATGCGTCGATTACAGAAATTATATTGGTTAGAACCAGCAGGATCTCATGGAGTATGGGGGTTGGATGATTATCATTTCTTGCCGTTTTTATTCGGTGCAGCCCAATTGGCAAATCATCCATATATGAAACCAAAACTGATCCATAATGAAGAATTAGTGGAAATGTATAAGGATAAATATATGTATATGGAATGTATCCATTTTATAAATACGATCAAGACATTGCCCCAGAATCAAGAACAGAAATTGAGTTTAAGATGGCATTCTCCAATGTTGGATGATATACTGGCGGCAAAGAGTTGGTTGAAGATTAAAGAAGGAATGATTAAGATGTATAAAGTGGAAGTATTGGGGAAATTACCAATTATACAACATTTTATGTTTGGAAGATTGATTCCATGTCCACCGGGGATTGCAGAACATACTGAAGAGGAAGACGATGGTGATCATCAAGAAGATGAATGTGGACATGTTCATACAACGGGAGTATTGAATACTTGGGGTGATTGTTGTGGTATAAAGATCCCCAGTGCAATTGCTGCAAGTGAGAGTTTAAGATTACAAGAAGCAAAGAAAAAGCATAAACCAATTCCATTTGATTAAACTTCTATATATTGCCTATACATAATTTACTCATTAAATCCAATATTTGTCGAGATTAATATATTTCTGGGGAATATTCCTGGGAATGGAAGTAATACTTTCAATTTCTTCTTTTCGTCATCAAATTTAGATACATGAACATATCCCAATACACTTGAATTTAATAATGCTCGACTATTGGTCTTAGATGTAGTTTGAGGAACATGAGTAATTGCCATTATTGAATTATCTAAATTAGAAGAACTTGGTTGTTCAAGTAAAGAATAATATTTTTCTAATAAATTCTCTTCTTGCTTAGTTTCATTATCTTCTTCAACAGTATATGAATCTCCAGCAGGTAAGAATGATAATGTTGAAATTAATTCTTTGGTAATAACTCCTTTATATATAATTAAATCTTGAACATCAATATCAGTTTTAAATGGAGATAATCGAGTTTTATAATTCCCATTAAAATATTCTTTAATACATTCTTCTTGTAATCTTCTAATATAACTATCTTCTAATTCAACAACTCCAGTACTTTTGGGTACTTTAACAATATCTAAACTGGTGGATTTGTGTTTAAATTTCTTCTTTAAATCAATCATTAATTTCTCCGATCCCATTACTACAATAATATTAATTCTAAAATCAGAAACTATACTTTCAATAATACCAAAATCTTTAATATCTAAAGCAGGAGTATCCACAATAATCCCAGAATTATTCACTTGTATATCTTCTTCTAATCTACTTAATACTGCAATCCCTAATTGAGAAATTTGATATTTATATAAATCCAAATTCTCTTTAAAATCTCCAAATCCATAATTCTTAACAATTGGTTGTTTTGGATTATGACTTAATGTACCTGAAGTAGTTGAAAACCCCCAACCTCCTGAACATTCTAAATCAAATGAATCACTAATAGGAGTTGCTGTTAAAGATCCTGGAAGGGCAAAAACCCCATCACGAGGATTAAGATTCACTAATATAGGTGTATTGTTCATCTTATTGGCATAACTAGCCAATATCTTACATAAGCTTGTCTTTCCTGAGAATTTATTCCCAATTACTAAAACTCTAGGTCCTGATAATTTCGATTCATTTAAAATATTATAATCATTGATTTGTTGTCTTTGGGCTTCAATTGCAATATGTAAATTCAAAAACGGGGTCATTCCAGTCTCACCACTCAAATATCCATCAAATGTATCTTGATCATCATTACTCATCGCCAGCATATCATTTCGATTGGGTAATATCATATATTCAACCGTCGTAGTTTCGATCGGAGAATATATGGCACATTTTGCACCAGGATATAATTGAAGTTCTACGTTTAATGGTAATTCAGTTCCAAAGATTTCTGCTATACCTCTAGTAATTTTGAATTTGAATATTGATTTAAATGGCACTTCTATTCTCCATTCATGATTCAGAGGGATTTGGATTGGGATATATTCATGAGTTGAATTGGATGATGTTGTTGTGATGCCGACGGAGTTGACAGTGGAGAGATCTGATGATCCAAATCCAGGTATAACACTAGTAGACATTGTTATGTTTGTTTGGGATGGGGGGATTGGTGAACAGATATGAAAAGCGTGATGATTAAGAGTGAAAAAAAAAGAGTCAATCAGTTGAAGGTTTATGAAAAAGATTTGATGAGATTTAAAAGATTTGAATCAAATTGAATCAATCATTAAAAAAAAATGATTTGAATTGAAGAAAGGGGGAGATAGAAGTAATGAATGGTTACTGTTGACGTGTATAAGTATATTTAAGTTGCAAGTAATAGATAAATAATATATTCTTATTTAATTAACATAAACATAGGTAGAAGCCATTTGCAAGGTAACAGTAGCCACAAATTTACTTATAATGGTTCATGATATTTCTGCTTGTTTCAATTCCACGCAATTGATTATCATAATTTATAGCGGAGTTGATCACTTGTAAAAAATTTTCATCAGGCTGATTCACCATAAAGAGTCGAGCTTTAGTTCGTAATCCCGCAATAAACAAATGTGAACAAACTCTATCCGGGATGTCTTCATGCAAAGTAGAATAAATCTCCCGAAATTCGGCAGCATATTCAGAAACTGATTGATCCTTTCTTTGGAATTTTCTCTTGAGGGCATACATTGAAGCATGATAGCTAGCTGTAGCTATGAAGTTTTTCTTGAATTCTTTCAAGAAATCTTTAAGTGTCATCAGTTCGATATTTGGTAACATTACAGCCCACCTACGTGCCGATCCACTTAACCACCCAACGGAAAACGCCATTTTGATTGCTTCATCTTTGATTGGGGTTGCCTCAAAGTAGAGGAACACGGAAGTCATCCATTGTCGGGCTAGTTGGGATCGCTTCGGTTCAAGCATATCGCCAGAATATGATTCTGGATGTGACATCTCCAATACAGGTTGTGTTGCCGGCTGTACTATCTTCAGGTCACTTTTCACTTCAGGAGCGGGTACACTTCTGGGAAGCGGCGAACTTGGAGATATGCCACTAGTATTTTGTTGTCTATCTGGAGTTATCTCGAATTCCTTTGAAAGATATTTAAATACGGCCATCTTCGTCTGCAAATCTAATTTGCTAATCAAAGCACAAGCGAATTCGTCCACAGATTGAGTATGTTCCTGTTTTGGCGATTCTACAACTTTTTCAATACCGTCTTTGGTTGCTTTTGAGCTCCTTTGAGCATCGGCACCTTCATTAAATTGTAAGCATTCAGCACAACTCTTCTTGGACTCTTCCAATTTCAACTTGGCAGCTTGGAAAGAGTGTTTCTCCTTTAAGGATCTGGCCATTGTCTCTAGCGACTCTTGCAAGTTTTTGTTTGCACGCTCTTCCAATGTGTTTATTCTCGAGGTCAAGCTTTGAAATGATTCTTCTATTTCGTTAGTGACGGTTGGAAGATCTGGGTCGCAACTTCTAGGGACTACTCCTGGTATGATTACAGTATCCTTTTCAACCGCCGCATCCTCAAGTAACTCTAATTTCTTATTCAAGCTGCTTTCAATAGTATCATCTTTCCCGTTGATCCCTTGGGAGTTTTTTTGTGGGGGGTCGACCAGTACGCTCTTGGAATCCTGTGAAGCTTTGTGTAATTCATTTAATTTGTTTCGGTGCAATTTCATTTGTTCAATTAGTTTCTTCAAACTCTCGTCACAGTTTGCTACCGTTTTTGCCATTTCAGAGAAAGCACTTCCATTGGAAATTGTTTGTTGTGTCATGTTATATCGTAGTATTCGTGCCTTGAGTAATTATATTTGTCAGTCGAAAGCTAAATCTGTTAACTCTTGTTTAATACGCCTTTTCCTACAAGAACTGGCAACTGTGTACCTATGAGTAATTTGGTACTTGGGCAGCACTTCCTCTGAATTTAGTCAATTCAATAAGGTGGTGAACAAATTGGGATCGATGTACCGGAGAAAAATTTTCACTAATTACACAAAATTGGCAATAGTAGAAAAAGTGAGCTATAGTCAAAGTATAATACAATATGAATAAGATAGATCATGTGAGACGTCTTTCATGTTTCCCTCCCCTAACCGAATACATCATTACTTTTGAACCAAAAGAAAAGGGGTTGAGGATATGACCGCTGATTTGGACTTCCCTCATAGAAACTATGTTAGAAGAAAAGAATTGGTTGCAAAAATTTACAAAATTTTAAAACAAAGAAAATTACCTTCAAACAACATATTTGCTAGTACATATGATATATATATCATAGACAAATTAGTTGGGGTTTATAGTTCTAAGTTCTTCTGGTTATGAGTTCATCATTTAGTCGGCATTCTAATCATTTCAAATAGGATGAAGTGGCTACAAGATGATTCAAGCCTAGAAACCTTAAAATATGCATAATCAAGGATCCCTACAAGAAATTTTAAACATCTACACTAGAACCAAGCACCCTGATTATCAGAATATTCTGTAATAGCCATTTTTAGATCCCAAAATCTGAATGTTTTGACCCATTATATCAACAATTTTAGTTCGAAACAGACAGACCAAAGGGCGGTTGGTGTAGTGGTTAACATATCTGCCTTCCAAGCAGGTGTCACGGGTTCGATTCCCGTACCGCTCATATTTTTATATTTTTGACATCCTGAGTATTATTATAGCACTTAATGGCATATAAATTAACAATATTTAAACATATTTGATGAAGTAAAATGAATTTCTTTAATAAAGAATAAACTTTCAATTTCTTTTTACAATGAAGGGGAATTTAATAATAACCAAGAAAAAAATAATTGATTGCAAATTGCGCGAACATACCAATGTAGCAACGAGGGCAGGCGAGACTGAACATGGAATATACCTAAAGAAGGTCCATTTTACTTACGGGCAGACATTGACTGGCTTGTGGCAATTAGTCAAATCAACCTCTACATGTCAGACACTTTTTGGAGTTGTACGTAGGTAATGACTCGAACCTTGAGCATCTCTCCAGTATAAAAGCTTGATCATTGATTTTCCTTTGTAAGAGAAGAGAGAACCCCAATCTTGTATGGTATGCTATAAAGCACAACGATCTTTTACAGAAACCTCAGGAGCTTCTCTAAACTAAAATGGAACCCATAAGATTATTCTTTCCCGATTTTCTCTATCCACTACTTTCCACGAGCATCTTAAACAAATTAATACATTCAATATGTTATTCTTCTATATACAGATAAACCAGTAATTTTTATTTATTCCCTGGAACAATAATGCGCAGATACATCTCATCATTTTAGATACCCAAAACATAATACATTTTATATTCTACTTTTGAGATCCACTTGAATCACCCTCATCATCGAAATCATACCTTCCTTCCAACATATCATTAATACTATCCTGTATTAATGCACTTTCTTCGTCCATAGGCATCTCACTCAACTCTTTTTCCTTTATATCTCCTCCCATAATCGACTTCATCTTCCATCCAAACTCTTTGATATTACTTACATCCATACACCAAAAACTACCAAATACCAACATTGAAGTCACGGACCCACATAACAACGTCCCAGTCCCAACGGCTACAGCGGCATCAGTGGTGAAATTATAACTTAATGGAGGTGAATGGTTGCCTTGGAATAAGGTAGGGACGTATTGTCTAGTTATGGTTGCTTTGTAGGCAAAACGCAGGGCAAAGATGGTGACGGCTGCCAGAGCCAAGAAACGCACCATTTGGATCTTGCGTCGGGTTTTATATTCTTCGGAAGCATTAGCTACTTTGAAATTAAGGGATTGTAAGATGTCTGACATGATATGTAGTTGGTTGATGAGTTGATGAAAATGATGGTAGTTTGCTATGAAGCAAATGAAAAAAAGTTGAAGATTTATAAGAGTGAGAGAAAAAATTGATCCATCAAAATTATACGAGGGAAATACTAAATGTTCGATACATATTACTAAATGAATATTTAATTAACACATGGCATATACACTAAATAAAAGAGTTCAAAATCATCAAAATATAAACAACAACAAACAATAACAAAACATGACCCGATTTGTTTTACATAAAAATCAATTGTCTGTCTAAATTTCTTCCTTAAATACTGCATTATGAGGTCCCTTCTTATTTATCGAAAGTTCATCATAATCACCAAAGTCTGACGTACCAGTTGTACTTCTTGGAATATTTCCCAGTTGTGGTGCAGAAGCAGAAGTAGATACACCTTCACCTTCTTTACTTCCCAATGAACTCTTTCGACGTTTTATTGGTGAAGTCGCTGGAGAAGAAGCAGACGAAGAAGAAGACCCTTCAGTCTCATGTTTATCCTTTTTGAATATTGAACTTAATCGTTTGGAGAATGAAAGTCTCTTTTTGTTTCTACCTTGGGGGATAACTGGGACATCAGAAACTGAAAGTTTTTTGGATGGTGGGGCTGGTTGTTGCTGTTGTGGTTCTGGTGTGGCCGGGGTAGCTGCATCATCCTGTTGTGGTGGCTCCTTCACTAATGGAATTTCTTTAATCTTAGGCTTTTCAACTGAGAATAATGACCCAGTATCTCTTATTCTATCTTCATCTACTTCAGTTCTTAAATGCTCAGGTAACTCATTATTAATCTTATGTTCGTCTTTAACTTTTTCATCTATTCCTGCCAAAATAGCCTCTTTCTTCTGTTTCTTATCTTGTAAATGTTCTTCCTTTTGTTTTTCTAATGCAGCTAATTGTTCCTCTAATTCCTTATCTTCATTATTAACATCCTCAAGATCCTTATCATGAGCAACTTGGAAATCAGCAAGTTCTTTGTCAGTAGTTTCATGTTTGACAACAGCATCTTCTAAATCAGTAGTATACTTTTCATATTCAGCTTGAGTTTCTTCTAATTTAGCATTTAATTCGGCAATCTTGTCTTCATATTCTTTATCCAAATCTTCTGCTGCTTTAACTTCATTATCCAATTCATCTCTTGCATCCGTCAATTCTTTTAATTTGGCAGTTTCAACTTCCAATTCTTCTAATGTTGGTTTAATGAGTTCATCTCTTTCAGCTTGCATATCTTCCAATTCTTTCTTACGTTCAGCAATGAAATTCGCTTCTTCTTCATCAATACGATCTTGGTTTTGTTGTTTTTCAGTCAATAAAGCTTCCTTCTCTTCGGCATGTTTAGCTTCAAGTTCTCTCAATTCCTGGCCCTTAGCATCAACTTCATCATTTCTCTCTTTTTGATACTCTAAGTATTTATCCTCTTCCAGTTTTTTCTTATCTTCATTTTCCACGATACGTTTTTGTTTAGCAGCTTCTAAATCACGCTTTTCTTGTAATTTAGCTTCAGCTTCCAATTGTTTTGCACGTTCATGCTCCTGTTCCAATTCCAATTGTCTTTGTTTCCGTTCTAAATCGGCTTGTCTTCTCAGGTCGGCCTTATGTTCAATATCTTGCAAGACAGGGTTAACATAAGTCAGGGCCAATTTATCCAAATCTGAACGCAACATAGTCAACCCTCCTCCTAAATCAATCACACCCGCTTGATGACTCTTTATACGTTCATCAGCATTCTTTTGAGCAACGGCGAGTGCTTGGGCATATACTTGTGCTTGTTCTCTCAACGAGGCAGGCGTACCGGCATTAAGGGTATTTAATCGTTCATTAGCTCTTGATGACGCAACTGAAAGGAGATTAGCACCTACGATATCACTGGCTTTGAAGGTGTTGGATCTGGTTTGGGAAGAGACTTGGGAAGTGAATGTGCCTCCATGTTTTAAGGACGCCGTAGCTGCTGCGCCTGCATCGGTTTTGGCTTGTTGATCGCCAACCAAACCTGATCTGTAGTCCAATTCGGGGTTAAAACGGGATGTTAACGATTTGGTTGAATTTCTTTCTGCTGCTTGATTAATTTTATGTAAATTTAAAGCAGCAGTAGCAGCAGCTGGTGATGCTGAAGATGATTTAGTTTGAATTCCACTTCTTTTTATATCCCTCTCAGGATTGATTCTGGATGTCATTGTTGATGTTGAAAGTTGTTGAGCAGCAGTATAGATTGAATTTGAATTTAAGGATGGAACTCCCGTATAAACCGAAGATACTGGAGCAGAAGCAGTACTTGCAAGTGTACTTGTTCTAGCATTGGCAGCTGCTGCATCTGCATAAGGGTCTTCTTTATCCCGGTGCCATATTTCAATTCTTTGTTGTTTTGCTGCCAAGGCTGCAGTGTGGGCTTCTGGCGCAATTGTACGTTCGTAAGATGGTTTAACAGTTAAATCGGAAGAGGCAGCTAATAATGCAGCTGTGTCCGAAGCATTGGAATTGACTCCAACGATACCTCCACTTGGTGAATGAAATACACCTTGTTTCAATTTCTGTTTATATAATGCCTCTGCAGATAATGGTTTTCCATTAGTTTGATAATAAGCTGACATATTTTTCTGGGAATTGGGATTTGGGAACTATGAAATATAGTGATTGACTCAGTGTATAGGGTCAGTATATGTACAATTGCAAAGAAACACTCCAGGTAGATGAAGTAAGTAATATATATTCAAAAAAAGTCAATTTAAAATAAAAAGGTTAAAATTTCAAGTTTTTGGGAACAGCAATGGAATTTCTAACAATTAGAAAAAAAAGGGGTGGTGGTGAATGACTGACTGACCCAATTGGGGTTATTTACGCACGAACAAACGAAATTGAGTAACAAAAACCGTTGGAATGAAATGAAACGAAGTTAGCGAAATTAATGGAAACAATATACGCGATTGGCTTTCCCAACAATAGAGAGAGATTATCAATTATTATACCTCTAACACACCCATATAGAAGTATTACTGTGGTTCAGAGGTAAATTGGTATTCACCTTTTTAAAGAAGCTATAAGGTGAGGCGCAATAATTGCTCCACAAAAAAAAAATGAACCCAGGCTTCAAATATCATCATTCTTTATTGTTATTTATTTTACCCCATTCATTGTAAAAGAAGTAAATTATTATTTTCCGAATAGATAGAAGCTTCTATCCCAATGCTATCTTACGTCATCACATTCGTATTAATCACGGGTGAGTATTTCATTGTTTTTTTTTTGTCCACGAAAATAGCATTGCAGGTATGAAATCGCAAGTAAATCTTTGCTTATGTGGTTGACCAAATAAACTAACCCCCAGAAATACTCCCTTTTTTGGTAAGACCACCACAGTCACTCTATATAAGGAGGAGGCGAACATAAGCGTGTTTTGAGCGTGGGGCAAAGCCATTGAATTGCAGCGATGGGCTAATGTCTCAGTTTTTCAAAATGTCGCAAAAATTAAAATGTCACTTAGTGATTTCAATACGTCATGGATGTTCCAGCCTAGATGAACTCGATCTTATACAACATTTCTATAATTTGCGGGTAGATAATGTTGGAGGAAAAGTAGTCAGGGATACCACGAACATTGCAAAATGCTGAAATCATAATAGAAGTGAGTTTGATAACGTAGCCATAACCTAAAATTGATGTACCTGGGGCGAAACTGTAGATGCTTTCTTTCCTTCCCTGGAAGTATAGTTAGTTTCACAACTGTAATTAATAATCTATTGATTTCAAATGATACTTAAGAATAAGGAAGATCACAAGCTTCCTACACTATCGACAAGATCTTGGACACTCTTTTTGGACAAGGCAGTCGATTTCATTCTTATGATAACATATGGGATAGATTAAAGTTATCTAGCAGGGAACTGAATTTTTTAAACTTATTTAATAGCTTTGGGGTTGCATATTTTAGCATGGTTGGGAATGCATAGTCACACGATAGCTACATTCCTCTGGCTTTGATATTGTGTTTTGGAAAAGTTGAGTATATTTCTTCTAAATCATAGTGAACGTAAGTCAATCTTAGTTATACCGTTAGGAATTAGGGTCAGCACCATCAATTGGAAACTCTCTAAATCATGATTTGACATTTTAAGGGTTTTATTCTTTGAATATTAACCGAAACACTCTGATTGCAAGTAGTGTATCTTTTGATTTACAAATATTTTTTTGGGGGGCGCAATTAAAATAATTTATAATTTTTATTTTCTATGCACATAATTTAAATAATTACATGGAACATTTCCTAATTAGTACAAAATGTCAATAATTCCCATTAACGCACTTATCAACGAACAAATTCACAAAATCACAAAATCAAAAGAACAAAGAAATTCAAGAAAACATCACAAGCGAGACATATACCTATTGTAGTAGAACAAAAAGTATACCATCTCACGTGCAGATCAATTTACAACAATCTCGCCGCCGATCCTCGGGCAATTGCTTAAAAGAAAGGGTCTGAATACAATAGGAGGGGGAGGTCTTATGCCAAGTTAAAAAATGTGTGTTAACGTTAAACTCGGGTAATAAGAGAGATGGCTGGCTAGTTGTCAAGTATAATGCTTAATTATGTTTGGAAGATGTTTTCTTCCACGCGCCCCTAATTTTAGTTTTCATATAGGAGAATAACCGAAAGGTCAGCTTGAAGGTACAAAATGCATTGTTTAAAAAAAGACACGCGATTTATTTTTGAAAATATGATAATTACGCCTTTCATATTTAAATGAACTTAACTAGCTTGATATACATCCTGTGATTAAACCAATACTAATTAGATCTGTTACAAGATGAAATATAACCCCGAGGACACTCCGTTAAGTAATGGAAAAAGACCGAGGAGAAGTTACGCTGTTGCATTAACTCGCATTGAAAAATTCATACAAACACCCTGTAAAGACCCGTTTTTTTTTTCTCTCTCTGAATAAAGTTTTAAATTAACATGTGTTTAAATTGTAATTACTTCAAATAAAAGGGGATTGTATTAACAACAAAGCCTACCTGAGTACATAAATTGAAAGTTTAATTTATTAGTTGCTGTTTGTAACTGTGGTGGTGTGGTACATTTTACTTTGATAAATTGAATTAAACATTATTACTCTTTTGTGATTAATTTTAATTATCGTCTAGAGTACAAAATAAACACCAATTCCTCTTTTCCTTCTTCTTGGTATCAAAAAAAAAAATTATCTCCTTCACGAGCAACTGTTCTATACATATATATATAAGAGGCTTATTGTTTCGAGTTGAAATCATTTTGGAGAAAGTTTGAAGGAGAAGTTTCTAATAATACATTCCGTAAGTTTACTGATAAAGATACCCCACTTAATTGAATCTCGAGAATTTTCCCCTGGGAACTAAAAATTTAAGTATACCCTTACACATCCTTTTTTTAATAAGGAAACCCTTAACTTTTTTGTTAAAGTCATATATGAAATAGATGTCTACCACGACAACGAAAACCAAAGGGAAGAAAAAGTTAGTATATAGACAAGACCCAGATGGTGTATTTCGACTTAAGAAAGTCGATGATAATGAATCAATGTTATCTGGTCAGACGACTACTACAGTCGAAAAGAAACAAAGAGTAGATAATTACTTGAACGAACTTATTGAATGCTCATATAAAGTTGTGGAAACTGACGAAGATGAACAACCAACTGATAGTAATGGACACTCTCATACTACTGTCCCTCAAGTACCAGCAAAATTAAAACCCCCAAAAGTTTTCGTTGCGAAGCAGAAAAAATCCTTAACAAAGAAAAACAATAAACTTTCAATTCCCCCCTTACCCAAAAGAAGACCATCCGTCAGTCTGTTACTTAGTATTAAAACTGAGGATTTATCCGAGCACGATCAAAAACGGATAAAGGAGGCAATTCATTTACTAAAAGAACGTGAAAAAAGTGTACAACAAAAAACTAAACAAGCAAAAGAAGAACAAGAAAGACTAAAGGAAGAAGAAAGATTAAAAGAATTGAAAGAGCAATTGGAAATAGAAAAGGAAAAGGAGAAACAATTACTTAAAGAACTCGAAAAAGAGAAGAAGAAAAAGAAAAAAGCTAAAGTTAAAGTCATTCAAACAGAACCTGAACAGACTGAACAGAAACCAAAAGAAACTGCCATAGAAGACAAAAGAGAGACCCCAATAGCAGAACTCCCACCGCTCCCAAAACACAACGAAACATCCAATTCCGAGATATCTGGCCCTCCTGCTATTCCAGAACACAAAGACAACAAAACTGAAAAGAAAACCTCGGGCTCAATCTCTAATATAATGAAACAAATTAAACAAGCATCCAACTCATTGACTCAATTTCATACCCCCAGTTATATTTGGGGTTTTTTGACACCAATTCTTCTTATAAAGTTCGCCCAACCGATAATGATAATCGCTGCTATGCTTGCAGGATTGGGATTAGTCGCAGGTGGTTTACTTTGGCAATTTGATCGTCTTGGGCTTATGAAAGGAAAGAATCATTACCTTGATATTTTGATCAATAAATTAGAATCTTCCAAGAAGGAAACGCACAAAAAGGAAGAAAGCCCAAAGAAGAACAAGACCGTGGAACTGAAAAATACTTCGAGCAAGGATACCAAGAAAGAAGCTGTAGTTATCATGGAAGAATCAGAAGAGGAAGAAGAAGAGGAGGGTGAACTGTCCGAAGAAGAAGACGAAATGTCAGAAACTGAATCCGAGACAGTTAAAGATGAGTCCGACGGAGAAGTAAAAACAATAGACGATGAACCAAGCATAGATGATACCGAGTATGTTGAATTCATTAAACAACCAGTAGCTCTTCCTAAACGTCCCTCACCGGAAAGTCGTCATACAGACGATCCACATACTATTAGAGTCGCTCCATTTAGATATGAACGTAGACGCAGTCAGAACAATAGTTTGCCAAATTTAGTCACCCCAGTTAAAACTGCTCCACCACTTAAACGAATGCATACAGCTCCAACTTCCAGAAGAGTTTCTACTGGTAGCATGTCTCCAGTGAGACAATTACCAACCATCCCTGCACAAAATGACGAAGACTTGCCATTGATTAACGAAGTGAGGTTATATGACGATGAAGAGGAGGAAGAGGAAGAACTTCCAGAATTGCCTCAAAAACCTAGTTCGGGTTTCCTTCAGAGAGGAATGAGTACGAAGAGTAAACATTCTATTTTAGGTACTAGAGATAATTATAAACGATTCCTTGCAAATGTCGACGGGTACGATTAGAATCTTATTTGGATAGTAGACAGACTTTTTATATAAGTATTTTGTATATTTAGAGATATATATATTATTAATAATGACATTGATTCACAGAGAAATGATTCTTCTTAGTTTATTGAGTGAATGCTACTAGAGATATTTTGAAACAAATGCAAGCATGTTCTTCGTGTGGCTATTCAAGCCTATGACTTAACCTCAAATTCTGTGGTTCACGTCATCATTGAATGATATTTCCCCCCTGATCTTCGTACTATTTCCATTATCTATACTTTGTAACCTGATGTAAAATTATTATCTTATGAAGATGACTTTTTTGTATATATAGAGATATGCTCTAAACTTAACCTAAAAGTACAATATGACAACTGTACATTGTCGTGTACCAGGGCTAACTTCTGTTATTCTGACGCATGATCATACACATGTCTTACATCGTTGAGTGATATTCTCTTCATCACCTATGCTTTTTTTTCTTTCTTATATCTATTGGCACATTGTAATCTCGTATAGCTTTATTATCTCAATCATGTTTGTCTACTCTAAGCTGAACAGAGATGATAGAAATTAGCAGCCATTTGTTAAACAGTCGTGCAAATTGGCTAACTTCAACAAGTTTTTTTTTTTCAGTTTTCCATCAGCAAAACAACAGAAAACAAACAAATCCGACTAACCAGCAATATCTCAATCCCATCAACAGTTCCCACTCCCTTCCTGACCAGTAAAAACCTTTTAACATGCCATTGTATAAAGAAGAAAACTTTTTGGTAGTGCATCCAGGATCACAATATACTATTTTCTCATTTGGATTACAGGATTCACTTTCACCACCACAATATAAAATTCCATCAATCATATATCAAGATTCAATTACCAAGGATTATAAATCAAAAAGACAGAATGAACAAGATATAGAGATTCATCCAATAAAAGCTTCGAATATTGTTGATTTGGATGCTTTCAATTATTTATTGAAAATCATTTTACAAAGTATCATTACCAATAATCCAATCATAACTATCAATCAAATCCCCTTGTTATTGATTGTACCTTCATTAACTTGGTCAAGAAGTAGTATAGAGTATATTACTAAACATGTTATTGAATCTTTAGAATTCACTGCTTTTAATATCCTCGATATGTCATTGGCAGCCACATTTGGAGTTGGATCAGCTACCAATTCAGTAGTTGTCAATGTGGGATATGAAACAATTCAGATTGTTCCAGTTGTAGGATATCAAAGTATTAAATATGCTGGTAAGATTTTGAAAAATGTTGGCGGGAAAACTTTAAATGAAGAAATGAAAAAAGTGTTGCCAAATTCTTTTACTGATCAACAAATTGAAGATTTAAAATGTTCTGGTATTTATGAAGTTCTGAATGATGAAGATGGATTTTATTCATTACGAGAATTAAATGAAGAAAATGGAGGTGAACATTTTGATGTGGCAAAAATTGTCACAACAGATGGAGGTGCTGTTGGAATAAATAATACCACAACCAATGGGAATAATGAAGAAGAAAAGCCTAATAAAGAATTAGAAAATAATTTCTTTATAGACTCCGTAACTGGTGAGAAAGTTTGGGTTGGTAAAGAAAGATTCTTGGGTGCTAATAAGTTGGTTGAAAAGATTGCTCAAGGGATATATGAATCATTATCCTTAATTCCAGATATTGATAGAAGACAAGATTGTTATGATAATATTATCCTTATAGGTTCTACATTTAAGATTCCAGGATTGAAAGAAGCTTTATTAATTAAATTAACTAAAAGCTATTTGGTAAGAGATCCAGAAGCAAATAAACAAAAAACATATGAAGGAATTAATTCAGCCATCTTAAAGTATCAACAAGCAGATGATGACGCCGATGGAGAATCTACAACTGGAGTTAGCCAAGTCCCCAATTCAATTAAATTGGCTAAATATCCTGACTATTTCCCGGAATGGAAGAAACCAAAGGAAAGAAATGGATCATGGGAAGATGTTTATTTCTTGGGTGGTGAAATTTACAGTAAACAAATCTTTTCTTCCGGTTCAAGTCATGGACGTGAATTGTTTGTTGGAAGTGAAGTTTATGAAGATCGTGGACCTCAAAGTATTTGGGATGTAAGTATTTAGAATCAATTATAAACACTCACTCACTCTCTGTAATACATGTAACAATAATAAATGAAAAACGCGTAAAAAAAGAGTATACACGCGCGCTCCGTGTAAGAAAACTTTTTCTTTCAGTTTCAAGGTACCACCCTTGCTTTTCAAAAGTGCTGTGAATGATCTTTAAACGACAAGCAATCCAGTTTATCAATTGCTGTTCACTTTATTCAAAGAAGCCACACCCTCCATTTATAGCTATGGCACAACAACAAACCCTTGGGAGATTCTTTTCGAATTCTTCAAATGCGTTGGGTAAAGCAAAACCCAAAACGTCTCCTGTCAAGAAAGCAACCAAAATAACAAGCAAAGTAGAATCACCACCCTCATCTCCTCGCAAGAAGAGATCGACAACTCCACCTACATCACCACCTACCAAAAAGGTCAAACCAACTCCCGAAGCTTCAGTTAAGGTTGGTGAGTCTGAAATGCACGAAGATTCAGATCCAGAAGAACCTGTAATCGAAGTCCCAAAGAAATTATCCACACTTGATGAAGCTAAAGAATTGATCAAATTAAGTGAAAAGCATCAACATGAACCTCACGTACAATTGTCAACTGCTAAAATCCCATATACTGTTTTAACTTCTATTTTAGAAAAAGTTGAACAAGAATCATCAAGATTGAAAATCACTCTGATCATTTCACAATTCTTTTTGGAAATATTACAAGAGTCTACAGTTGATAAATTGATTAGAATCGTTTATTTATTTATTAATAGATTAGGACCTGATTATGAACCGGAATTGGAATTAGGATTAGGTGAAACCCTTTTAATTAAAGCTATTAGTGAATGTTATGGACGAGCACCAGCAACGATTAGACAAGATTATAAAGAAGTTGGTGATTTAGGATTAGTTGCTCAAAAATCTAGATCTGGTCAACCAACAATGTTTAAACCAACACCATTGGATATTGATCTCGTGTTTGAGAATTTAACAAAAATTGCAAAATCATCCGGGAAAGATTCTCAACTGAAGAAAATTGCCATTATTAATAGAATGTTAACTGCTTGTGAACCGAAATCAAATGAAGCCAAGTTTTTGATTCGATCACTTGAAGGAAAATTAAGAATTGGTCTTGCTGAGAAAACTGTCCTTATTGGATTAGCCCAAGCATTTGTTGAATATGAACTTATCAAAAGTGGTAAAAGTGGGTTAAGAATTAACCCGGAAAGATTAGCACAAGCAGAAGATATTATTAGAGAAGCATTTTCTCAGATACCAAATTACGAAATCTTGATTAGGAATGCTTATGACTATGGTGTATTCAATTTACTTGATCATATTCAATTGACTCCTGGTATACCTTTAAAGCCAATGTTAGCTAAACCTACCAAATCTATCAGTGAAGTCTTGGATAGATTTCAAGGCGAAGAGTTCACGTGTGAATATAAATATGATGGTGAGAGAGCTCAGGTACATGTATTACCTGATGGGAGTGTCAAGATTTATTCTCGTAATTCAGAAGATATGTCCCAAAGATATCCTGATTTGATTTCGATCATTACTGATTTTACTACGCAAGAGAAATCTGTATCTTCTATGATTCTTGATTGCGAAGCAGTTGCTTGGGATAGAATTAATAAAAAGATCCTTCCCTTCCAAGTCTTATCTACTAGAAAAAGAAAAGATGTCAACGAAGCCGATATTACAGTACATATTTGTCTTTTCGCATTTGATTTATTATACTTCAACAACGAATCATTAATCAGGAAATCGCTTCAAGAAAGAAGAAAAGTAATGCATGATAATTTCACAGTTATAGATGGAAAATTCCAATTTGCAACCAAAAAAGATTCTTCCAACTTGGATGAATTACAACTATTCTTAGACCAATCAGTTAAAGATTCATGTGAAGGATTAATGGTGAAGATGTTAAATGGCCCGGAATCATATTATGAACCTTCCAAGAGATCTCGTAATTGGCTTAAATTGAAGAAAGATTATTTGGCCGGGGTTGGTGATTCGCTTGATTTAGTGGTTATAGGAGCATATAATGGGAAGGGGAAAAGAACTGGGACATATGGTGGGTTCCTTCTTGCTTCATATAATCAGGATACTGGGGAGTTTGAGACTACTTGTAAGATAGGTACTGGGTTTAGTGATGAAGATTTAACTAATTTGTATAATAAATTACACCCAACAGAGATTCCCAGACCAAAACCATATTTTATATATGATACCAATAATTCCAACGCCGTGCCAGATGTTTGGTTTGAACCTACTATATTATTTGAGGTTTTAACGGCTGATTTATCCTTAAGTCCAATCTATAAAGCAGCCCATCAGGAATACGGAAAGGGTATTTCTCTTAGATTCCCTCGTTTCTTAAGAATTAGAGATGACAAGGGTATAGAAGATGCTACCAGTTCTACAGAAGTTGCCGAATTTTATGAACGACAAGCAAATGTAAATTAAAATGGATTTTTATTAAGTTAAGTTTAAATAATTTATAGGGTTTAAATACAAACAGTATCTATATAATCAATACCACCACTCGGTTCATTCATCTTGTTGAGATCTATTCTCTCTAAGTTTATTCTTAATCTTTTCACTTAAATTCTTATTCTCAAAATTCAACACAATTTGTTCTGAAGACAGTTGATTCGACAAATCTGGTCTCTTAGAAGATCCACCACTCAATGGACTTTTGACATGTACAGTATGACTCAGTTCCAGAGGTTGAGCAAATCTATAATCATCATATATCGAAGCTTCAGAATTATTTCCAGTTCCCAAAAGATCAATCTTGACATTTTCTCTAGCATTCATATGTAATTGATAATCAGAAAACATGGGTAAATTAGTCAATGAATTATCAGAATTCAAAAGAGAAATACCATCACTCATTGAACTTGAATGATCAAGAAGTCCTCCATTCTTTTTACCAAGACGTTTTTGAGCACGACGTTTTTCAAGTCTTCTTTGACGTAATTCTTGAGTCTTACGTTCTTCTTCTTCATCTGAATCAATATAATCAACTTGTTTATCGGAAATATTAAGGGATTGTTTGAGTTCCAAAAGATTGAAATCATCAGGGAAAAGAGTTGGACCAAATTCATTAACCAAATCGGTGATTTCTTCACTTAATTCACGTCTCATTTTCTTTAATTCTTGAATTGATGATTGTGATGCAATTATTGATAAATAAAGTGGACGGATTGATTTAAATAAATCAAGTCCTTGTTCTCCTGTAAGTAATGCGGAATAAGTCACAAGAATACCGGCAATATATAATAAGATCCAAACCCAAATTAAACTTATTGATGGAAGGATATTATGTTTGGAAATTAAATAAGTACCGACACTAGCATAAAAACTATAGACAACAGGGGCAATACCCATAGAAACAAGGATTTTCCAAGTGGCAATAACATCATTACCTTTGATTTTGACAACTGAGTTGGCTAAGGCTTCCTTTTGTTTCTGTCTAGAAATGATTTTTGTGGAAAGGAAAACCGGTGAGAAAAGAGTTGCACCTGGAAGTGCCAAAATGAATAAAACAATCAATCTAATGATTCTTACGATTAAAAGTGGAATAACAACAAATTGATTGGATTCTTTACAACTTTCAACATCATGATCAGGTAATGCAAGTGATTTCAAAAAGTTATTGTATTCTAAAACTTTATTTTTAACTTCTTGAACTTTTGGTTCATCTTTAAATTGATTATATCCCATGACTAAACGTCTATTCATTTCCACAATTAATGGTAAGGGTAATTGTTGAGCGAAATTTCCGGCATATAATCTTCTAGCGGCTTGAATTAACATTAAAGTTTCATAATCTTGACAAGTAACAGTAACAGCTTTCAAACCAGTAGTTATAATATCCAATAATTCTTTAACTGATTCACGATTAGTTTCTGGATTTTTATACTTCTTTAATAAATCTTTTGAAATTTCAATTGGATCACCAAATTCAACAACAGCTCTAGATCTAAATTTATGAGCATTGAAATAATTCATACCACATGGGACAATTTTAACATTACAATCAGGATTATGTTCCATTGCACCAAGGGCCATAACAGCAACCCCGGCTTTAAGTGGCAATAAATCAGGACGATCATGAGATCCACCTTCTGGGAAAATACCAATACAATTTCCATCGGATAAATGATCGAAAACTAATTGATAAACTTGTTTTTGATCTACTTTATCGGCTTTTTTGAATGAAGTTCCCTTTGTAAGTAATTGTCTAATTTGATCAGTATCTTTAAATTCTTTTCTAATTCTTAATTCTGTATCGGAAATAATTTGAGTAATTTCAGAAGCACCAAGAGATTGAGGAAGGGCAAATAATCCTTTAACCATACATTCTTGAGTGAATTTTGTTCCAACACCAGTTACTTTATATGGATCTTTATCAAAATCAACAAAGATTTTCCCAGTTCCTTTAACTAAATTATCTTGAGGTCTAACAACAGGAATGGATAATTGAGCCATTGACATAGTCCCAACTACTTTCAATTGATAAGATTTAGCAGCGATTAAGAAAGAAACTCGACGATTTGCTTCCTTTTTGACTTGATTCATTAAAACAATTGGATCAACAAATTGATTATGATGGGGAGCAGCGACAAAGATGACAGGACCATCCCTAGGTATTTTGAAAGCCCCACGAGGTCTGATTTCTCTAAAGAAACAGTCAAAGATGATTGAAAGTAACCAAAGGAAGGAATCATAAATGGCTAATCTATACCATGGCAAAGGTTTATATTTAAAATCAAACTGAGCTGACATTGTTGTATTTTTTCTATAACACCCAATTGTATTTAAAGTAAAAAATCTCAATGGAGTTTAGGAAAGGGAATTCTGTCTAATGAAAAAAAAATGAGATGGTTGTTATCAGACAGTGGAAGGACCCAAGGATCAAGTTGACTGTGGCGGATGTAACGTTCTATTATATATTATTATGTGTGTTTGAAAAGAATCCCCCAAGAAGAGGAAGGAGAGAAAAGTTTATGGCAACCTATATGCAGTACAAAAGGGATCCCACGGATATACTCAATTGGTTGGTCAATAAATGTATGGAATAGGAATAAAGTTATGCCAAGATTAACCGATAAGTTTGAAATTGATCTGAAACAACTTGGGCTCAACTGAAATGAAATGTAATGTCATGTCAGATGCGAGTGCCATTCCATTTCATTCCGAGGTGCTGGAGAAGAAAATCCCTACAATTGTGGTACACCAGGTATTTGACAGTGTTGCAAAAAAAAAAAAAATACGACTTAGTACATTACTAAATCTGGCACAATATGATCTCGAGAATCTAAAGACATTATCTCATAAGGTTTACCCCATTGAATCTGAACTCAAAACCGCAAATGAAGTTTGTAGAGTTTGGAAACAAACCGGGACTCGCTTTCCAAAGAAGAAGCATCGTCGAAGCAAAACCAAGGAGAATACTTGCATTTCTAAATATTGGGGTTTCTCTAGGCCTGTATTCTTACTACTGGAACGTTGTTCATTGCAAGACTGTTAACAGTTTTTGCACGTGGTAATTCTTGTTGCAAAAAGGACGTTTCACCTTAAATATCATTCTATTTACCACATCTCTTTTGGCTTATCAATTGCAAAATAGAGATTTCCTGTTTAGTATAAAATTGTTGGGATTTTTTTTAATGATTCCGTTTTAAGCCGAAATCGGATACGGACTCAAAAGTCCGAACACATACACAATATAGAATCAATCAATGAATGAATGCACAGTTAATTTATTAATTATATTTATACAAATATGTAAGAAAGATTATGAAAATATTTATACTTAGGAAAAAGAAGAAAGAAAGAACTTCCTTATTTAGTTTTGGAAAATCTAGTAAAAAATGCCATCTTAAATACAAATTGTAAGTAAACAAGATCATAAGTCCTGCTTATGACAACAACAATTACAACAACACCACCGCCAACAACCTCCCAGAAAGCAACTTCTCTCTCTATGATATGAATAAATCACACGATTAAGACTTATTCTATTGAGATAATCTTTCCAACATGTTTTTTTTTCTTTTTTATACGAAGTCTATCAATTTACAACCAATTTCAACAAAATCATTTAACTTAACAAATGACATAAAAACACAAGCAATTTGTTTGAAAGATAATATTTAGTGATGATACAGCATTCTATGTTGTGGGATTAAACTATTACAAGGATTAGTAGTAAGTAATACAATGAGTCTGTTCTATAAGGTAATATCTAAGACTAATCCCACGTCATCGACATTACTTTTTGCCAAATCTTCCAATAATGGCAAAAGATCTAATAATTCGTTATCATGAGTATCACTAAACCAACTACTAATAGGAATGGAATGTTGAGGATGGAAAATATATGAAGCAGGAGAATTATCAATTATAATTGTATCTCTTAATGGTCTACCAACTTGAGATAAATTCTTAATAAAATTACCTTGATAATTATAACATGAATCTCTAAATAAACGATGATGTACTGATTGATGAAGATCTAATTTATCCAATAATGGATCACCATATTTCAGAACAGATGCAGTAAATACAACAACTTCATACCATTGACCAACTTTTTTCAAAAATTCATCAACTCCAGGACGTTTAATAACATAAACATGATGAATTTGATTATCAATTTCAACTGGAATGACAAAATCAGCAGTACGTAAATATTTAAATGATGAATGAACTAATGTTTCATCAAGATCTAAAATAAGACATTTTTTACCGGCGAAATTCTTATCTTTATGACCTAATAAATAACCGGTTTCAGGATTATATGCTTGGCCTTCTTGTAATTTAGTCAAATCAAGATATGATTCGTCATCTTCGTCTACTTCATCCTCTTCATCTTCATCTTCGTCATCTTCGTCTAGTTCATCATCATATTCTTCATCGGTTTCGCCAGTGGCAATAATTTGTGGAGGTTTGGTAACTACTATTTGTTCTGGTATTTTTGTCGCCACCTTTGATGAGGTCTCATCATGTTCTTCAACTGATAGTTCTGATAATTGGGCAATTTCTAATTCAGTGAGTTTAGTGTTATTTACAGAATTAGATGTATTTTCAGGGTTGGCAGTGGTTATTATATCATTAGAAATTTCTCTACTCTGATTCTGTATTTCTTGTTGTTGTTCTTGGCCTTGTTGTTGAAGTTTGGACGTGCTGTTACTTTCTTCATTAGTATTGGTGATTGTATCTGTTTCGGAATGGGCGTCGTCTAATAATTCCTTTTTAGATGATATTCTTTGTTTCCCTTTCAATATGTCATCGTCATCTTCTTCATCTTCGTCATCTTCTTCTACATCTTCATCATGCTCCACGATTTCCCTAGGATTATTGTCGTTATTGGGATGGGTTGTATTAGGATGATTTTCTGATCCATCTGGATTAGTTCGTAGATTCCTATCTCCAGTGGCACTGCTTTCAGTTGATGTAGTTGCCGAAGTTGATGTCACTGTAGTCGGATGTTTATTAGAAGTTGTTGTATTCTTATTTTGATTAGTACCAGATGACAATGGCGGCGGTGGTGTTGGTCTATTTGAAGTGACACTGGTCGTTGTACGTTGTTGTATTTTGTCGTTACCATCGTCTTTTGAACGAATTGAACAACAAAATATGGAAGATAATAATTTATCCATAATTAATTCTATACGTTGGTGTGTGTGTATGTAATGAGTGACTAATATATATATATATATACTAGTCTTTATGGATTGTAATGGGTTGATGGGTAATGTGGTCGTGTAATTATGTAATATATCTATCTATGTTGTTGTCTATATATATTTCAATATAGGAAAAGTAGATCTCTCTATAATAAAATTGTATAATACTTTTAATCTTTTAATTTAAAAGAAAAGATATAAAATTTTAAAATTTTAAAAGAAGAATGTTTTTTTTTTTTTTTTTTTCATTTAACTTTTGACATGTAATATAAAATTCATAAGAAGTGTAAGAAAAGAAATCAAAACACAAAAGGTAGTGTACTTTATACCAACTATTAATTATATTCTTCTCTATAAACAATGAAGAAGAACAATCTGATATTTTAGTCAATTTACATTTAAGTATTTCTATATTCTTATTGGCTAGAAGTCTATTATCACATTCATTCCACAGTTTCATTGGGTTAATAAGAATAAATTCTTCTATTATGCTTCTTTTTAATGTTAAACGATGGTGTTTGTTCGATTTAGTAAGCATATGGAGCCATATCCTAAACAGGAAATAATGTCGTCAAAGATCTATTTTGTGACATTGTTCTGCAATAGCGCCGTATCAACAACTTTAACAACCAATGTTTCCTGGAGTTAAGACAATTCAAAAGGGAAACTTTCATACAATCTCTTACAGGAGTTAGCAAATACATTTCAACAATGCGATATCAAATGTCAGTCAGATGTTTATCAGTGACAACAAAAATTTCATATACATTCAAGCGAACGAGATTCACGTTGACGAAAGAATTATCTTTCCGGGGAAATTCTTGGGATAAAAGATTTTAAATACTTATATCGTATTGTGGTAATAGAGTGCTTACCTAGAAATAGAAGTCATATATAGATGGTCTAGTCCCTAGGTCCAGATGAACTAAAATACAAATGTTTATTTTTTTTTTGGTTGCAAACTCTGCAGTATGGATAAACACTATGATATACCAGCATCGAATATCTTATAATTTATCGTTGTACATCCAATTCACTGGGTTTCTTTAAAATAATTAACTTCTAAGGCTTCCGTTGTTATCTATTGTAATACTTGGCTTAGAATAATAGCATGAAGCTGTTTGAAGCCTCTTTCACTTGTAATCTACTCCAAAATAGGGTCTCAAGCTTATAAAAGAGCTCCCAAACAATGTCAAATGGATCTCAAGGTGTTCTTCATAACTTTCTAAACTTTCATAATCATTGCTGAATTTGGTGAAATCTAATACCGTATAGTTCCAATTAAGTATGAGTGGTTCGGTTTGATAATTCTTTCTTTTGTATTCACTTCCTTCAAGCAGGATATAAGAGAAATCCCAATCTACCAGGAAAGAAGTTTATTCCAAATCCGACACACATGTAGCTTTTGCTGGTGTATTTGGATTTTAAGAATTTGCAACCATTTTTGAGGATGCTTAGTATCTTACTTGATAACGGCGTGCTTGTATCTTATATTTTATTCCTTATTACCAATCCTCCCCCTTGGTTGGCTTTTTCGACTTCCGGTCTCCATGACTCGCTTGAATTGCTACACAATTACACACCTGCAAGACCTTGTGGCAAATTACATGTACATACAAAAAGCGCAAAAAAATATTTTTGGGCTGCAAAAAGTGCATATGTTCACTAGCCTCAGTTACAAAAACTGTCTACTTTGCACATTAATGCATGCAAATGCAGTTTATCCTGGTAATAGAGGTGTTTATCAGTAGTTAGTAAGATGCAATGGCCGACTTTGAGTTGAGCTCATTTGTCAAGCCGATTTTGTGAAATGAAATCTTTTCTCGATTTCATTCAATGAATGAAACTTGGATTAGATGGGTAAGGTTATAAAAAAGAAGAGCATAAATAGCTTACTAAAAGAGAGTATCACAGATATCTTAGCCGAGAGACACTCTAATGAAGCAGTCAGAACAATGAAAATCACCAATTGAACAGTTGATCACATAACAACATTTGTAAGGCTACGTGGAAACACAGCTCAAACTATAATGTATGCTAATTGTGAACGCAGTACTCTAATTCCACCCCGGTCTTGAAATGGGTAGGTTACACATGTTTTAAATGAGACTACTAGTCCCGAAGGCTCTTGAAGATCCGCCTTTGAATGATTTTTTTCCTACAGTGAGTTGAATTCGTATAGAATGAAATACTATAATAACTTTCTGCCTTATTTGTCTATCTGGGTGGTAGGTTATTGCTCTGTTTGTATCAAGTCTACCAAATTAACCCCAACAACGGTTTCGCCCATAACAGTTGGTAGCATCTACATCTGGTAGCGTGCTCATAGGTCACTATATTTTTTCACCGAACAAACCATACATTACTAATCCTACACACGAACCTGTGCAAAAGTTATTCTTTTAGATGACTATCGATCCGTTTCTGCTAGATTATATAAATGCCTTCATACATAAGTACTTATGTAAATTTCCGCATGACATACTCCGTCAAATTATTGAGCAATTAACCCAAGATCTTCTCGTTGATTTTTTGATGACTTTGGATCAAGACAATGAGATAAGACAATTTGTGATTGAAGAATACTTTAATAAAGAACTTCATTTCGTACTAGCACCTACTCAGAGACCATATTTTTATTCCTCACTGCTTTCAGAAATATTTAGGGATTTTATTGTATTTCGATCATATTTTCAAATCAAACAATTTTTGGATGAGAATCCTGATCTAAGACCAAAAAAGGTGTTGATTGTAAGTGGTGGTGGTGATTTCGGGTCCATGAAGGCTTTATTGGGAGAATTTGAGGAATGGTTTAAGAATGGCAGTGTTGGGGCAATAGAGATAACATTGGAGAATTATGATATGAGCTCAACTGATTTTAATTATTTATTGGGATTTAACAATTTATCAAGAATTCATTTCTCAAATAATCCATTGATAAATATGAAGCGGGGGTTAATATTAAATGAGAAATTGGCTAACCATCCTAATCTTGAAAATATTGTATTTTTGAAGCATGAGATTTCTGAATGGAAAGGAGTGATGTTGCCAAAAAAATTGCGATGTTTAGATATAGCATGGAATCCTCAAACTGATTTATCGACATTGATTATTCCAGATACGGTAAAAGAACTTTATTTCAATCAATGCAATATTAATGATTCAGGTAGAGTTATGAAAAGTTTACCGGCATTGAATTTGTCAGTGCTTATGCTAGCGCACAATTTTTTCCTGACTTTAGAACTCTCTTATCTACCACGAACTCTAATGGCATTGGACCTAACTTATAATAGTATAAGCTGTATTGAGGATCAGACAGGAAATGGCTGGCCACCTATGCTAGAGAATATTTCATTAGCTAATAATATGCTTGACGATTTAGCATTGGATGGAATGCTTGCCAACCAAATATACTGGCCTCAGCGGTTAGAGATATTAACCGTTGAAGGAAATAAGATCAAGACTTTTTCGAAATTGGGTGAATTACCAGAAAGTTTAGAGATACTAGATTTATCGCAAAATAATGCAGCTTCGTTTTTACAAGAAAATAATGGCGAAGTTGCCCTGGAAGGCTATTTTAAGTTTCCTAGTAAGCTTCGTATTCTAGGATTAGAATGCTGCAGCGGTCTCAACCAGGTGAACAATCTAGAAAACCTTAGAAAATATGGCCGCATTAGATTCCCCGAGGGTTTGACTGAGTTGAATTTATCAGAATGTAATCTTAGTAGTTTGCATGGGATACAGTTTCCCAATTCATTGAAGAGTCTTGCATTATCTGGGAATCGACTACGGGAGCTTTGTTCATATAATTCACCTGGAGTTAATTGGACTCAATTGGTAAATTTGTCAGAGTTGGAGCTATTTTCTAATGGTATTTCCGGCTTGGAGGAATGGGAACCTCCAATTAAACTAACGCGATTAGACTTGAGAGAGAACTGTCTTGAATCAATATCTTCGAAATTTCCATTGTTTGATAGGTTTTACAATGCTAAAATGACACGATTTACCCATTTAGATCTTGGATATTGTTGGATTGAATCTTTTGATCCGAATGTTCGCTTACCTCCTAATTTGATCTATTTGAGTCTTTGTAATAATTCATTCAAGGGACCTATTTTTATTCCTGATGCATTTAAAGCCGTTCAAACATTGGATCTCTCAGAAAATGAAATTACCCTGATCCAGATTATAGATACTGATGATGGAGATATTAGTAATAGATTGAATAGTTTAGATCTATCAAACAATAGGTTATTAAAGAATCATCGAAAAAACATGAAATTTGCAAATGAATTTTATGATAGGTTAGAGCAAATGCTAGGATTAAAAGTTAAGACTAGAAGGTTCAATGTGAATTCCCTCCTTCAATTGGAATAAGATTTGCAGAAGTGGAGAAATCCAATTCCACGAATATTGTTGTCATTACAATGTGAACAATAATTATAATAATAGTTTAATAGATATATGTAAGTTTATAAGGTAAAAGTAAAATTTAATTTGCAACCCAATCTCTCTCTCTCTATATGTTTTTTCTTGAACACACAATATCTCAACCATCAAAAGTTGGCGACTGGGACAAAAAAAATTAATTAACAACCCTTGAAGTTGGTTTCTTAGTAATCCACAAAGTAACATACTTTACATAAATATAAAACAACACAATGGCAGATGAAGATCGAATGGATATCGATGGTATGTTAACTTTTATTAGTATAACAGGAGATTGAAGTATCATTATTACTAACACCAAATTTTATTTTAGAAGTTGTAGCAGACTCCAAGAGTGAAACATCAACACCACAACCAGGCAAATCATCAACACCATCAACATCCAAACAGAAATTCGAAGTAAAGAAATGGACAGCAGTAGCATTCTGGTCATGGGGTATGTATTAATTTCATTTTAAAACACGCGTTATTCAGATTAGATTTACTAACATTCCGATTTAGACATCCAGATTGAAAATTGTGCAATTTGTAGGAATCATTTAATGGAACCTTGTATTGAATGTCAACCTAATTCTATAGCTAATAGTGGAGAAGAATGTATAGCCGCATGGGGTGTTTGTAATCATGCTTTCCATTTACATTGTATCAAAAGATGGTTAAAAACAAGAAATGCATGTCCATTAGATAATATGGAATGGACATATCAAAAGTTTGGTGCTTAGATTTAGTAAAGCTGCGTTTGGTTACTTGAATACTACTAGCTATGCTAATAATATATTGTATTTCTATTTCATATGTTGAGTTTAAATCAAGGGGATATTTTTGCTCACATCATCAAGGTCAGCTTCTCGTTCATTTTGTAAGGTTTTACTAGATACCAATAATAGTCTGTCTATATATACGGGGGGAAATAAAGAAGTTATAATAAATATACAAATGCTAATTATTCTCTACTATCTATTCTCTTATTGTGGGTTTTCTCAAACTTGCTTCATATCTCCAACTACGTTTAAATGACCCTAACACGACCACCTTCAGTCCTTGAATCCCCAATTCATCAACCCAAACCTTATCTTCATTTTTAAGTGGTCCCAATAACTCAACAAAGAACACATATGTCCATGGTTGATTCAAATTACCAGCAGGACGTGATGTAATCGATGTCAAATTGATTCCATGGGTTTTGAATTTAAGCAACACATCACAAAGAGAACCTGGGTTTGATTCATTATCGATTGTAAACATCAATGATGTTATCATTGTTCCTTCTTCTTGATCAATCTGATCTGGGTTATCTTCTTTTGAAGGTGGAGGTGGGGAAGGTGGATAATCATATCCCAAGACTAAGAATCTGGTGGTATTTGTCACATTATCCTCAATACTTTCATGCATCATTGGTAGTCCGTATAAGACAGCACTCATCTTTGATGAAATTGCTGCAGTCGAGTTGGTTTTATCTTGACTTACCATTTCTGCTGCTTTTGAAGTTGACCCAACGTCAATTTTGACAATATTCTTTTTGATACCCGCTAAGAATTTTGTGACTTGAGTCCAGACTTGTGGATGGGAATATATGGTAGTTATATCATCAATCGATTTGGCATTTGTTAGAAAGTTGTGATGGATGGAGACGTATTGTTCACCTACTATCTTGAAACTTGGAGGTGGTGATGACGATGTTGTTGGTGAGAGATACCAATCACGTAAAAGATCATATGTGAAAACAACTTGTCCATTGGTGGAGTTTTCGAATGGAACAATTGCATAGTTGACGTCATGGTTATTTATGGCTTCAAAACAATCTCCAATTGTTTTTTGGGGAAGAGCTGTTATGTCTGTACCGAATTGTTGAATCACGGCCTAGAAATCATAATGTTAGATTGAATTATTAAGTATGATGACAGATATAGATACATACTTGATGGGTATAGGTCCCCTCTGGACCTAGAAATGCAACTTTAATAGGTGACATGTTCGGGGCTGTTGAAGAAATGTATGGAATAAGAATTATGTCTGAAGTTTTAGTCATTCATAATTAACATTGAAAAATTCCATGATTTTGAAGGGACCGGAACCGGACATCAGAAACGGCTAAAAGTTAATCCTAAAATCCTAAAAACTGATACTAAATCCATTCAGTATACAGCCATTAAAATCACAAGTTAACTTTTACAAGTTTCAAGTCCATACAGCTCAAAGAAACAGTGCTCAAAATAAGAAACAGTTCACCAAAATTAATCTATGTTAGTCATACTTCTCTTCCAAAAAGTAAGACAAAATTACATTCTAATTACTTGGAAATTACTGCGCGCACTAATAAAGTCTACTGTGTGGTATCGTAGGTGGCTCTATATTAAACTGAGACTCTATAACGATTCCACTTGAAAGTTTCGGAAAACCGGGTTCTAACCCAAAAAATTATAATCCTTGAACTATACCCTAATTAAATATACAAATCGTTTCATTAAAAAAACCAACAGCCGTTGTTAACAACACCCTTAAAGATCTTGAACAATAGTACCACGTTCGGAAACATAAATACCATCCAAGAACTTACGGATATCCTTGTTTCTAACACGACAGATTTGTTGAATATCAGCAGCGTTTTGAGAAACATCTTCTAAAGAGTTACCAGAAACAATTAATTCATCCTTTTGAGCAGTGGAGATTTCCATAGTAACACCATCGGTAATCTTAACTTGTCTAACTCTCTTTTCACCCAAGAAGTTTCTGATTTCAACAAAGTTTTCACCATCCTTTTGGATAACGTTAACGTTAATTGGGAAATGCGCATAGACAAATCTCATCTTGTATTGGTAACCCTTGGTAACACCGGTGATCAAGTTAGCAATTAAAGACTTGACGGTACGTAAAGCAGCAACGTGCTTTCTGTCACCGTTGTGGACAGTGATCTTGATGGCACGGTTAGAAATCTTAGCGAAAGTAACATCAATATGTTTTAAGTCCTTGGATAATTCACCTCTTGGACCGGTGACCTTGATGGATCTGGCATTGATGGAGACGGTAACACCTTCTGGGATATCTAAGATTTGATCGGTTTGGATGTACTTCATTGTGATTACTTGATGATGAGAAAGAAGAAGAAGAAGAAGAGATGACAATGCAAGAATGAGAAGTGAAAAGTTTTTTTTATAGATTCATTAGGCGCACTGTGGAATGGAATTGAAAATTTTTCAAATTTTTTTCAGGTGGTCGTGTGATCCCCATTTATTAGAAGACAAGACCCAAATTGGAATTGGTCTGTAATTTACTCAACCAGTCCCATAATTGCACAGTAGTTCCGGGTAACACAAGTTACATCACTTGTTGCAAAATTTTGTACAGTGGTAATTTTGCTGTACCTGCGTACACTACACAATGGATCTAAATTAGTAACATATCATACGTCCATATAAATAGATAAAACTATATAAATTACACAAAATGTCTCTCAAACGTCAATTTTAATAACCTTCTTGTTCGTCTAAAGTTTGGAATTCCCAAAGCTTGAATCCTTTAGGATATGTAACACCTAAAGAAATCAATCTGGAATAAGCATCAGCGAAATCCTTAAAGAACAAATCTTGGTCGTTTGCGTATTGTCTAACATACTTGATAAAGTATGGTTCTTCCTTCAAAGCAATATCAGTTGGCAACATCATGAATTCTCCAGTTTCCTTGTCTTCATATTGTTTTGGACCATCCCATTTCTTAACTTGCCAATCACCTAATAATCTGACATAGAAATCATTAGTGAATTGATTAAAGGAAGGACCCCAAGGACCTTTATAACCAGAATGTTGAGGATGACATCTACCTAAAACGTGAGCACCAAGTAAGGCAACAGTTTCTTGTTCATTAAAACCCATACGAGCGAAAAGATCCTTGACATATTTACCATCTCTAGAAGCATCAGGTAACAAACCATTTGGAGGAACATTCTTACCAGAATTATCGTCAACACGACCAGGACCCCATGGGATCTTTGGACCACCAGCTTCTTGAACACCTGCAACACCAGCTAAAGTCCATAAATCACCACGAGAAATCCATGGATATTTAACTGCAAATTCTTGCAAGAATGATCTAGCATTTGCTAAACCATTGTTAGCACCATCTAATTCTTCAGGACCGTAAATCATAGTACCACCATATGAACCATAGGAATTACTTTCCTTGACATAGGTACCAGACGAGTGCCAGGATAATCTTAATAAAACGGCATTGAAACCCGAGTTTTCGTCATATTCTGGATATTCAGCAATTTTGGCTGCAATATCGTTATAAACTTGTTGATAATCTTTGAAACCCTTTCCGTTTGGAACTTGGGCTTGATGAACATTGGCAGCTGCGGAACCTGATAAGAGACCTAAAAATCCAGCTTTGGTGACGTTTCTACCGCCGTTGTTATTGTTGTTATTGTTATTGTTGTTGTTGCTGTTCTTTTGCTGTCTTTCATTATAAAAATAAGTAGCTAAAGCGGCAGTTAAACCAGAAGCACCTAATAATGAGAATTGGGTGAATCTGGTGTATCTGAACTTGGCGGTATGAGTTTTGGTAATTCTACCAATTGTTGGTCTGATGGCAATTGCAGACATTATTATTTGATAATTAATAATTTAGAATATGATAATAAGAAGAAAGGAAAAGAAGAAAGGAAATTCTAATGGGAATTGAAAAATTTTGGAAATTTATTCAGGGTTAAATACTCAATGGGGAAAAACTATTCAAAACGGGGGAGGCGCATAAAGAAAAAAAAGGTTAATCATGAAAGAAAGAAAAAATTATGGTCTTGGTGTACAATGGAGGGGTTTGGTCCTTGGGGATTGGCTTGTTGTTTTTACTTTCAAATATAGTTACAATTTCAGATTAGATTTACGTGACGATATGTTCAAGTTTATTATTTTGTTATAAATCAGTTCAATTTATTGAATGATTATGACTTGAATTGATTTCGTAGATAATCTCTTTAATTAATTATAGAATGTTATACAAATTTGATTTTTAATGACAAATTGCAAATGTGTTCTAGAATTTATTTTTAATTGCATCATATTTTTTTTCTTCTTCGGGATCTAAAATTTGCAGTACCGAAGCATTTCATATTTTTTTTGTTACATAAGATCATCATTTATGTACATTTGAAATTATACTACATTTACAGACTTGATGATCTGTAGTTAGTTTCATACTAGTCAATTCATCTGTATTTGAATGCTTGTAATATTTGATAGAGTATAACACGTATCCACAAACGTTTCTTGTTATCTTGGAGGGTTATTTTGGAAAACTGTGGGGGGGTCATTGATAAAGGAACAAAAAATATGTAATTTTTGCACGACCCATCAAAAACGCGTAATATGAATTTACTCGACCACCATTGGGTGAATTTTTAAGTTATAGTTCAAGCTTTACTTTTAACGTTTTTTTGGAACTTTTACCATTACTACAACGTGTACACAACATGTACTAGCCACTACAAATTACATGTCTTTTATTACTATAACCTTACAAATATATACTATACACTATGTTAAAACAAACATCAACGACGGACTTATCGGCATAACACCAGAAAAAAAGAACACAACCACACTCTCAATAATTCCTCGGAATCATTTTCCATTTATTTACCCCACTATGTTTCGCGTTTATCCGTTTCTAATTGTTTAGGATTTCGCTGGAATCTGATTTCCGACTGGGCCACTCATTGATCTATGTGAGTCTCTTGAGCCAATTTCTTCTCGATCAATTGTTCAATGACATCAGCATCTGTATAAACAAAAGAACCTTCTTCATTGTATGTTTTGGCATTCAAACACATTTGTTTCAAATCATCAATAAATTCACTAAATTGGCCATACTTTTCTTGTTCTAAATGTTTCTTGATTTGATTAATTGAAACTGGCTTCTTAATTATCAGATAATAATCAGGATATAACTTACGACTAGGCAATTTGATGAAAATATCACTTAAGTTATGACCATCTTCTGGATCTGTCAATTCACAAATTTCATCAAGAACTTGTAAACATTTCAATGTAAATCGGTCAACAACTGGTTGTTCATCTATATGTTCATCCTCGTCATCATCTTGTTCTGTGTTGTTATTCTCAGGTGATGAAATATGTGGTAATGGAGTTCTAGTTCTACGAGCTCTCTTTCTAGGAGCTGCTGCAGCTTCATAGTCGTCATCATCCTCTTCTCCAACTTCGTCGTCCTTGATATCTTCAACCAATAACCCTTCCCTAATTGCCTTATTTCTTTTACGTTTAGCAATACGTGACTCCTTACGTTTAATAGCTTCCTCAATTGTATCATTATCATCATCCATAGCCATCAACCATTGCTCTTCAGTCAATCCATCATCATATTTGACCCTCTTCTTTTCTCTCATACGAGCTAATTCTTTCGTATCCTTTTCGAAATGATGAGAAATATCTTCAGTAAATACTGGTGGTAACTCATCTCTTTCAATCAACCTTGCTTTGAAAATTTTATCATTCTCCTTACGTTCTTTATCCATTTCAGCAAATAAAACCTTTTCATCCTCTGATCTGGCCAATATTTCATTCAATTCTTCGTCATCCAAAGAATCATTCTCTTCATTATCAGCACCTTTGGCATCTGCTTCTAATAATCTCTTCAAAAATGCTTCTTGTTCTTCTGCGGTGGATTTGTTATCGAATTTACCAGCTTGAATAACCTTTCCATCAATATCCAATTTCTGATGGGCTCTTTCCAAAATAACTTCTTCAACAGAATCATTTGTAATCAATCTTAAAATTCTCACTTCATTCTTTTGTCCAATACGATGGGCTCTGTCTTGTGCTTGTAAATCTTGATGAGGGTTCCAATCAGTATCGAAAATAACAACCGTATCGGCTGTTTGTAAATTCAAACCTAACCCACCAGCACGGGTCGACAATAAAAAGCAGAAATATTCAGAACCAGGAGCATTAAATGCTTTCAACATATCTTGACGTTCATCAGCTTTGGTTGATCCATCAAGTCTTAAATACTTCATATCACGCCATCTTAAGAAATCTTCCATTATATCCATAATTTGAGTCATTTGGAAAAACATCAACACACGATGACCTGATTTTTTGAATTTTGGTAATATACGATCTAATAATTCAAATTTACCACTTACACGCCAAATTAAATCATTAGTGAGTTTTTGGGAATTTAATACGGTTTCAACTTCTTCAAATACGAATGGATGATTACAAATCTTACGTAATTGCATAATCTTATTATTAAGACCTTTGATACCACTTTTGGCACCTCCAACATCAGCTCCTAGGAAGAGTGCATTGTGGGTTAACATTTGTTGATAAAGGACATATTGAAGAGCCGAGAGATTACATTTAAGAACCTTTTCGACCTTGTCGGGTAAATCCTTTTCCACATCTTTCTTCAAACGACGTAATAAGAATGGACGTAAGACTTTATGTAATCTTCTAATAACTAATAATGATTCTTCTTCGGTTAATTCTATCTTTTCTTGAGCACCAGTATTGGCAAATGGAGTATTAAACCATTCATCAAACGATTTAACGGAATTGAAAATTCTTGGAAGGACAAAGTTCAATAATGCCCACAATTCAGGTAAATTGTTTTGTAATGGAGTACCAGTCAAAATTAATCTATTTTTCGTCTTATAATATGTTCTCAATGTTTGAGACAATTTGGATTGAGCATTTTTCATTCTATGACCTTCATCTATAATCATATGAGAATATTGGAATTTAGCTAACAATGGACGTTCTCTAATAATATATTCATATGTAGTTAACAACACTTGGAAGTTACCTACTCTGATCTCAGGTTGCATTGAACGACGTTGTTGTTGTGAACCTTTATATACAATGACTTTCACACTAGGAGCCCATTTTTCAAATTCTAATGTCCAATTGGTAATTGTAGAAAGCGGAACAATTACCAAGAATTTATCTTCATGCTTTCTTTCAATAAGATATGCAATCAAGGAGATAGATTGAATAGTTTTACCTAACCCCATTTCATCTGCTAAAATACCATTCAATTTATTGTTGTATAAAGAAACCATCCATTGCAAACCCTTAACTTGATATTCTTTTAATTTACCACCAACTAAGATTTTAGGTTGTTCTTTAACTTCTTCCTTGATACGATGAGCAACTTCATAATAATCGATTTTTTCTCTCAATTCATCATTTCCATCTTCGCTTACCTTGGGTTCTATAATGTCTTCAGGACTACCACTCTTCTCCAAAGGTAGGGTTGCTTCTTCTTGTTGAGCACGGACCTGTTGAGCCAAAGAGTCCAAGAATTGATTTGTTTGTTTCAAAAGATGGGTGATTCTATGATCCTTTGTTTGATCTAATAGCTTTATATATGCTTCTTCATCATTTGCTTTTAAAGCTTGCAATCTCTGTTTGGCAGTCTTTTCTAATTTCTTAGATTCTTCCTTTTCTGTATTTTGATGGAAGTTGGTAATTTGCCTAACAAGGTTATGGGATCTATAATGGTCACGTTGATATTTTGCATTACCCAATGCCAAAGAACTTTCAAGAATTTGATCAACCTTGATAATGTGCATTTGACGTTTATATTCTTTAGCTTCTTGTCTTTTGAGCTCTTCTAATTGGACCGCAAGAAGTTGAGGATTGTATTGTTCGATTTTTGGACGAATGTTAAATGACCGTTTTTCTGAAAGACATAATGGATGATTCTTGAGATCGGGGTGAAGGAACTTCACTTGTTGTGATTCATGGAGTAGCACATTGTGTTTGAGTTGTTTCTGTTTAGCCAAGAGTCGAAGTGCCTTGATTTCGATTAAAGCTCTGATTTTGAGACTATCAATTTCCTGGTCTTCATTGAATGAAAAAGTACCAAGATTCCCCGGGAGGTTTTCCAATTCTTTTAAGCGTTGAGATATTTTGTTACCTATAAGCTTTTCGGTGTGGAAGTTTCCTAATGGAGCATAAAGTGGGTCAACCGCTGATAATGGTAATGGAATTTTGACACCTTGTTGCTTCGCTCTATTCTCAAAATCTGAATCAAGCGTTGTCAATTTTTCAAGTATTGAATCTATGGAAGCCTTATCTGTAGTTTCATCATTGGCTTTCGTTCCTATAGTTTGGAAATCACGTTGTAAGTTTTCAGGTAAATCAACGTCTTTAGATAATAATAATAATCCTGCAACTTGTTTCTCGAATAACTCGGAATCAAACTCGCCTATTTCTTCATCATCAACTTCAGTGGTCAACAATTCCTGTATAAATTCATCTTGTTCCTTATTAAACTCATCTTGAGATTTGCTAACTTGAGCAAGGATTGTTTCAATTCTCAACTTCTCTTTTAAGTTTGGATCTTCAAATTTCTTATTGTGCTTATCTTCTCTCTTTGCGAAGTCTTGTTTTAATTGATCAGACGCGTAAAGCAATTTATAATATCTATCTAACAATTCATTTAATTGTTCTTTGGTCCTGGGATATAAGATTTTATAACCACCATTCTGCTGTTCCCCATCAACGCTGGATGTAGATGTTGCAGGAGTAGACACCGCGGAAGATGGGACTAGAGACCCATTGGATACTATTGCACCATTCATTTTCTGTGCCTGTTATTTTGATAGATTAGTTTTTTGCAATCAAATAGATAAAAATATTAATCTTATGAAATAACAAAAAGAATGTCACAAGGGGTATAGTTAGTTTTAAAATATTTATAATAAATCTAACTTTTTTTATGTTTGATTGTTTGTTTTTCTGATTTGTGCGTGTACTTGGTATGAAAAAACAATGGATTCCTTTTATTTGATTTGGATTGGATTGAAAGATTAATTAAATTGATTTGTTTTGATGGAAAAAGGTGGTTGTAAAAAAAAAATTGGTTGTTGATTTTCAAAGAGTAAAAATTTTTGAGTGGTTTTTTTGCATTATTCTATAAGGTTGTTTTGGTATGTACACGACTAACAAACCTATCATTTCATTAGATGGAAATGTCCCTTGCAAATGTATAACCAATCCAAAAGAGATTGATTTTGTTTCTGGGTGTATCTTAGAATTTGAATAAAACACCAAGACGCAGTTTTAATGGTTCTTTGTAAGGGAATGTAAAGATAGAAAGATACGATTTTCTCTTTCCTGCTAACAAAAGCTAACCTCCTTCGCACCACCAGACAAACCTTTTAACAAAACCAAAAAAAAACTTTTCGCGGTGCTGTCTCCCTTGCGTTTGTATTGGATCACTTGATATATTTATATTTTAGTTATATCTATTCATAGATCAGTTTGGAATCCTACTCGAATTTCATCGTTTGTTGTTTTATCTTTACTTATACTTTGCATTCCTTAGAATTCAAATAGCTTTTTTGCGTCTTTATTTTTCATTTTTCAATCATCATAAATAGCAAGCATGTTCACCATTGGGGTTTACAATAGAACCATTCTCAGAAGAGCAATGGGTTCAGTCAGATTTAATTCCACTTCCAAGAATTCTAGTTCATATATGTCATGGGTCGATTATTTTACATTAAAGAAACTGAACAATAGATTCAATACTATTGCCGGTATAATTACTGGTTTTGGTGGTAGTGCCCTTACTTTAACATATCTCGGTAATATTGAAATTGATGTTGAAAAACCAATAATGGGATTTGATCCATTGATGGTTATGGGAGGTGGTGTCATCCTCGGTGGTTTAGTTGGGTATTTAATTGGACCATTCATGGGTACTTCAGTATTCAAAGTATTACATAAATCAAAAATTGCTCAATATGAAATTAGAAATAAAGAATTTTTAAAGAGACTTCGTGAAAAGAGACCTGATCCATCTTCTCAAAGTTTTTCTAATCCAATTCCTGACTATTATGGTGAGAAGATTTATTCTTTGAAAGATTATAAACAATGGTTAAGAGACTGTAATGCATTTAGAAGAAAGGCGAGAGAATTTGTTTAAAGTAGAATTTAAAGTAATCTCAGAGGAAGGTGAATTTAGCATTCCCATTGATGGAAAATAGATTACAGAAGAATATATTGTATTCATTTTAAAGTAGTTATCTTCCCTTTCTCTAAGTATCTGTATATAAAGGCAACGTGTGTATTTCATTTTAATAACTTCATAAATTTGTTTTGAAATCAATTGTATGATGTTTTATCCTCCTAAGTGTATAATTTTTCTAGGTTGCAAAATTTTGTCAGAAGATTTGCAAAAAAAAGATCAATTCATTAGAATTGTAAAGAACACCTCGATTAAACTCACATATAAATCAAAGAATTGAAATATTTACACAGGAACCCCCAAACTACCTTATTTCGATAGTATATTGGAAGTCCCTTGAAGTAAACAATACTTTTGGATATTTTTTCGTAGAGATAATCAAATTCTACATTGAATCAGGTTTATTCTCCGGAGAATGTGAAACGAATTCTACCTTCCGTTTTTCTTGGTCTACTTGGAATAACAAATATCGCCAGAAAAGCTATTAATGGTCTACTGAATGTAAGATAAACAACTATAGTCATCAAAAAACAAACGAAGAATTACATTTCATTTTCTTGAAGTTGATGCATAAAGGTCAATTAAGGGATAAACATTTTCCTGTGAATCAAGAAATCGCTACCTTCTTTTGCTCGCAACCATTTATAAATTTATGTGTCCGATTGGGAAAGGAATAAAAAGAGAATGCAGTTCTACTGATTTCAATGTATGTTTAACGTAATCCAATTCAGACTTAAGGCTACGTCCGGGAATCCAAAATTATAAGCATCAGACATTGCTCAGATTTACTGAGAAATTTTACCGTTGTACCCGTTTATGTCCCGATATATTGTGTATGGGGATTGTTAATACAATGGCTTAGTTTTCAGCTCATTATTTGTAGTGTCACTTCGGTTGCCAAAGTGACCAATTAAATTCATTCTAGAGGATTTGGTTCGCAGCAAAAAAAAAGTTTTTCCGAGAGTCACGTTAAAAGTATGGGGTAAGAGAAAGGGCCAGAGTAGACAAACTGGAGTTATTAAAAAGGAATACTCCTGGGAATCCTCTCTGGATCTCTGGATGCAATCCAACGATACGTTATGAGCAGCTTGTGGACTATCGAAGAATTTCCGCCAAATCCGGGGAGGAAATTTAGAGTTTTAGAGTGTAAATTAACCTGCCAATTAGAAATGAAGCATTTTTTGACACACCGAACGAATCCCGGAGATTTGTGAAACGACGGCAAATAAAAAAAATATTTCTGAGAGATGCGACTAACTACACATTAAATATTACCGCAATTTACTTAACCGATGCAATTGTTGGATACTTGGTATAGAAGGTCACTACAATATATAGTATATCAATTAGTTGAGTAAACCTTCTATACATATACAAGATATGGGATATTAATTATTCAGATTTTGTTGAAGAGAATTCCGAACAACTCCGGATGTCGACAAATTGCCGTGGGGGTCGGTTGAAGCGAGCACAGAAAAAAATACTATGGCGAAGAGAAGCGATGAGTTGGACCCCCCGGTGTCTCTCGGAATCAATTTTTTCTAGTGTAAAATTGTCAGTAAACGGTGGAGAGCGAATTGGCTCCTCAAATTCCAAAATTTTGGTTAACAAAAGAGCTAATAAAATCACTCAAATTTGTATTAATTGTGACTGCGTTGTATTGTTCTCCCCTCCTTTATGTGGGCCGTCTTAGTTACAAATGGTCATATAAGTCTTTTTTTTTCTGGTTGTTTAGTTGTCCTTTGTCAATCTTCGCTTTCCTTCTCCGGACTGAATTCCGGAGAAGTGAAGCCAAAAAAAAAAGACCAACAAAAGGGAAAGAATTTTTTTCAACAACAAATTTTATATTTCTCCTTTTTACTTTCTTTCTCTCCTTTCTTGTAAATCATCCCCAATTGATCTGGAAATATATCTTTCCTGTAAATATCCAGTCAACGCTGTTACAGATTTAACCCCCCCCACAATGCTTAGAGCTTTTAAAAGCGCCATCCCACGCGCTCAACTTTTAAGGGCCAATAACCAACTCAATAGACAAGGCTTAAGAATCATTTCCGCACGTTTCAATGCAACTGATAACTTTTTACAAGGTAACAACTCCAATTATGTTGATGAAATGTATGAAGCTTGGAGACAAGACCCAACTAGTGTCCACACTTCCTGGAATGCTTATTTCAAGAATATTGAAAATGATAACATCCCAGTTTCAAGAGCTTTCACTGCTCCTCCAACTATTGTTGCACACCCTGTTGGTGGTGCTGGTAGTTTCATTCCTGGTGAAGCTCCAATTACTGAAGATGTTGTCACTCACTTGAAGGTTCAATTGTTAGTTCGTGCTTATCAAGTTAGAGGTCATCAAAAGGCTAAAATTGATCCATTAGGTATCACATTTAATGAAACTTCTTATGTTCCAAAAGAATTAACATTAGCTCACTATAACTTTACTGAAAAGGATTTAGATAAACAAATTACTCTTGGTCCAGGTATTTTACCAAGATTTGCTGAAGCAGGTAAGAAATCAATGACTTTAAGAGAAATCATTGCTAGCTGTGAAAAGATATATTGTTCTTCTTATGGTATTGAATATGTCCATATTCCTTCAAAAGACAAGTGTGACTGGTTAAGAGAAAGAGTTGAAATTCCAGAACCTTATAAATATTCTCCAGATCAAAAGAGACAAATTTTGGATCGTTTGATTTGGGCCACATCTTTTGAAACCTTCTTGGCTAATAAATTCCCAAATGATAAAAGATTTGGTTTGGAAGGTGCTGAAGCCGTTGTTCCAGGTATGAAATCCTTAATTGATACCTCTGTAGAATATGGTGTTGAAGATGTTGTCATTGGTATGCCACATAGAGGTAGATTAAATATGTTGTCAAATGTTGTCCGTAAACCAAATGAATCTATCTTTTCTGAATTTTCCGGTTCTAAAGAATTCGATGAAGGTTCCGGTGATGTCAAGTACCATTTGGGTATGAACTATGCTAGACCAACTACTTCTGGTAAATACGTTAACTTATCAATTGTTGCCAATCCATCCCATTTGGAAGCCGAAGATGGTGTTGTTTTAGGTAAAACTAGAGCTATCCAACAATACAAGAACGATGTCGGTGAATTCAAGAAGGCTATGCCTGTTTTATTACATGGGGATGCTGCATTCGCTGGTCAAGGTGTTGTTTACGAAACTATGGGTTTTGCTAACTTACCTGCCTACTCTACTGGTGGTACCATTCATGTCATTGTCAATAACCAAATCGGTTTCACTACCGATCCAAGATTCTCTAGATCCACGTTATATCCTTCTGATATTGCCAAAGCTATTGATGCTCCAATCTTCCATGTTAATGCTGATGATGTTGAAGCTTGTACCTTTGTCTTTAATTTAGCTGCTGAATGGAGAGCTACTTACCATTCCGATGTTATTATTGATGTTGTTGGTTACAGAAAGTATGGTCATAATGAAACTGATCAACCATCATTCACTCAACCAATCATGTATGAACAAATTTCCCAAAAGAAGTCAGTTATTGACTACTATACTAATCAATTGATCGAAGAAGGTACTTTTAGTGTCGACGATGTTAATGAACACAAGAAATGGGTTTGGGATCAATTAGAAGAACAATTCGGTAAGGCCAAGGAATACCAACCAACTTCAAGAGAATGGTTAACTACTCCATGGGAAGATTTCAAATCTCCAAGAGAATTAGCTACCGAAGTTTTACCACATTTACCAACTGCTGTTGAAGAACCAATTTTACAAAAGGTGGGTAATGATATTTCTAGTGTCCCAGAAGGTTTTGAAATCCACAGAAACTTGAAACGTATCTTGAACACCAGAAAGAAAACCATTGAAACCGGTGAAGGTATTGATTGGGCTACCGGTGAAGCTCTTGCTTTCGGTTCTTTAGCTCTTGAAGGTTATCACGTTAGACTTTCTGGTCAAGATGTTGAAAGAGGTACTTTCTCCCAACGTCATTCTGTCTTGCATGATCAAAAGAGTGAAGCCATCTGGACTCCATTGGCCAACTTGAGTGAAGATCAAGGTGCTTTCAGTATTTCCAACTCTTCATTATCTGAATATGGTTGTTTAGGTTTCGAATATGGTTATTCATTAACTTCCCCAGATGCTTTAGTTATTTGGGAAGCACAATTCGGTGATTTCGCCAACACTGCTCAAGTCATTATTGATCAATTCGTTTCTGGTGCTGAATCTAAATGGAAGCAAAGATCTGGTGTTGTCTTATCCTTACCTCACGGTTATGATGGTCAAGGTCCAGAACATTCTTCTGGTAGACTTGAAAGATTCTTACAATTATGTAATGAAGATCCACGTTATTTCCCATCTCCAGAAAAGATCGAACGTCAACATCAAGATTGTAACATGCAAGTTGCTTATCCTACTACTCCAGCTAACCTTTTCCATCTTTTACGTCGTCAAATGCATAGACAATTCAGAAAACCATTGATTCTTTTCTTCTCCAAGTCATTGTTACGTCATCCTTTGGCTAGATCAAACTTATCTGAATTTACTGGTGAATCTCACTTTGAATGGATCATTGAAGATGTTTTAGGTAAGAAGGAAGAAGTTAAGAGAGTCGTCTTAATGTCTGGTCAAGTTTATGCTACTTTACAGAAGAAGAGAGCCGCTTTGGAAGATAACTCCACTGCATTTATTAAGGTTGAACAATTACATCCATTCCCATATGCTCAATTACGTGATGCTTTGAATACTTATCCAAATGTTAACGATATTGTTTGGTGTCAAGAAGAACCATTAAATATGGGTGCGTGGGCCTTTGCTCAACCAAGAATCCAAACTGTTTTGAAGGAAACTGAAAATTGTAAGGATTTGAGTTTGAGATATGCTGGTAGAGATCCAAGTGCTTCTGTTGCCGCTGGGTCTAAGACTATGCATTTGGCTGAAGAAGAAGCATTCGTTAATGAAGTTTTCAGAGATTAGAGGGTGATGGTATACTTTAGTATTGCATTCATTTTATCCTGATGTACATTTGTGTTTTTTTTAGTACTTGGTTTCGTAGTTGTGACGAAAAGGAAACATTTTCTTTATTTAGTTTTGATGTTTTATAGCATCTTGTTTGTTTATTTATTAATCTTATAAAGTATTTACAGTTTGAATTTCTTACTTTTCTGTTCAATATCTGTGATTTTATTCAATATTTGTACATTTCTAACAACTCACTAATTTCTCTGTGGTATTCCAATCGATGCTATTTTCGGTACCTGTATCGAAGAGCCAAGAAAGCTGATGCCCGTAAATACAGGCAAATTGGTTTAACTCCTCTCGGTATAGTAGAACGTTTCAGGTACGTAAGGTCTTGCCAAGGAAATGTAAAAAATAGAAGATGCGGGCCGGCGTTGGAATACGGGAGTGGATTTTTTGGGAATTATATGAAAGATCTCCGGTTTAGTTTTCCCATTCTTCCAATACTTGACAATAAACTGTTTCTACGAAGGCACCAATATCCAACAGTTTTGTAAGCTTGACGCTGCATTCAAGACAGCCATCCTTTAGGAATTGTCTTGGTGATGATGTTGTTTGGGCTATGATTTGTACTCTCCTAATGATATTATCAGAAAAAAAAATGCAACCGGGTTTACCATTTAAGTGGGGGAGACTTTCTTTTTTTTTCGGCAGCTTTCCCATCGTGGGGGACGTGCCGAATCTGACGGATAAAAGAACACCCGCCAAAAACAATCAGGAAAAAAACTTAACCGGAATATGAAAAAGCAAATTGTGGGTAAATTATTAAAAACTTAATGAACAAATACAAAGCTTAACAATCTTTGCTACCCCTCTAGGGGTATATAAGATATAGACAATCTGCTCTGTTGAACATTCAAATCCATTTCATATCAATATTTAATCTTCAGTCATATTCAAAATCATGTACACTATTCCAAAACATACTATTCCAGAAGCCCCACTCAAACTTACATTCGTTGTTGTAGGTGCAGGTTTGGGAGGTGTTTCTGCAGCTATTGGTCTCAGATTAGCTGGTCACAAAGTCTTACTTCTTGAAGCTGCCCATGAATTAGCTGAAGTTGGTGCTGGTATCCAAATTCCACCTCCATCCATCAAAGTGTTAAATGCCTTTGGTGTTTTGGAACAAGTTGAAAAAGTTTCCATCTTTCCTAATGATATACATATTCATAGATGGGAGGATGGTAAATTATTATCACAACAAAATTTAGTTCCATATACACTTGAAAAATACAATGGACACTATTTACATATCCATCGTGCTGATTATCACTCGGCGCTTGTTGCAAGAGCCTATGAAGTTGGAGTCGAAGTTCATTTGAATGCAAGAGTTTGTTCTGCTGATTTTGAAACATCAACTGTGATAACTGAAGCTGGTCAAACCTTTAGTGGTGATGTTATTATTGGTTATGATGGGGTCAAGTCATGTTTACGTTCTCTTATTTTGGGTAGAGAAGATTTGGCTTATAATACTGGTGATTTAGCCTATCGTGCGTTGATTGATGTTGAGAAAATGAAAGAATATCCTGAATTAACTCATCTTTGGACTAAGCCAGATATTCATTTCTGGTGGGGACCAAAAATGCATGTTGTATTGTACTTCTTACAAGGAGGTAAGACATGTAACGTTGTTGTATTAAGTCCAGACACATTACCCGAAAATGTCTTTATTCAAGAAGCTACTAAGGAAGAATTATTGGAAATATTTGCTGACTGGGATCCTACTTTGAAAACTTTATTCCAATTGATTCATTCTACTGCTAAATGGCGTTTACAAAACTCACGAGAATTAGATACTTGGACTCACTCAACTGGTAATTGTATTATTTTGGGTGATGCTTCCCATGCTACTTTACCTTATTTAGCAAGTGGTGCTTCACAAGCCGTCGAAGATGCTGCAGTCTTAACTGGGTTATTCAGTCGTATTGAAAGTAAATCTCAAATCCATGAATTATTAGAATTAACTGAATCCTTACGTAAATGGAGATCCACTCAAGTTGTTCAAGGTTCGACCAATTGTCAAAATATTTACCATATGTTGGATGGAGAATCTCAAGTGGCTAGGGATGCTAAGATGCAAATTCAACCTCCAGCTATTGGATGTCCAAACAGATTTGCTGATCCTGTTTTCCAAAATTTCCTTTGGGGTTATGATGCTTTAGAAGAAGCTGAAAGAGGTTGGAAAGAATTCAAAGAAGGTCGTAAAGCTACTTATACATATAAGAACTTGTATGAAGATGCAAGATTGTAATTTAATCCATCCGGAATGGGTTTAGTAGATATGTGTTTAGTTTGTACCTAATTCTTTAAATATTTATAATTATACAATAGTTTCATTAATAGATCAGATGTTATACATATATCGATTTAATAGTTCATAGTCTGGTTGAATTGATTCCACGGAGTCTACATATTGAGGTAACCCTGTTTCAATCGATTTGATGACTGCCTCGATACAAAGCAATGCTCTTAAAGCATCTTCCCCAGTACATTTAATAACCGTCTCGCTACCGGTAATTAAGTTAACAAAGTGGTCTAGTTGTAAATCGAATGGCTTTGGCTTCTTGCCCATCCCAATATTATGGATTGGAGATACCTTATAATCTGGAGAGGGGCTTGGAGTGATCATACCATTGGTCAGGATAGGAGCCACTGCAGGAACTGGTTTTTCATGATTCATTTGTAACTGTTCACATTGAATTGGGTTTAACCATGTCCGGGAATCATCGCGGTTACTAGTCATACTATTGTTAAAAGCGTGTTGATTAATCAAATCTAAAGCGTCATTCTGATGATATAACTTCAAATCAGGAACACTGATTGTTCCGTGAGAGCCAAAAATACGATAAAACCCAGCAACATTTTTATTGAATGGGATTGTAGGATTCTCTCCAGTACCTGATTCAAATGAAAATGGAGAAGTGACATTATCTGAACACACGAAAGTCCCACAGCATCCATTTGCAAATCTCAAAGTGAGTGCAGCACCTTCATCAACAAGATCACAATCATCAACTTCCATTTCTCCAAATCTATCTGTTCTCTGTTTTGGTAAAAGTTCAGCATATACTTTCTCAATTGGACCTAAGAGGTATTGTAATAAATCCAAGTCATGAATCAAATTGATTAATAAAGTTCCTCCACCTTTGGCAATAGTCGAGCGCCAAGGTTTTTCCATAAAATATGAAGGTGGTTTACACATGGTCCATGTACCTTGAACAGCAACTAATTTGCCTACCTTGGGGATGTTTTCTTTGGTGGTTATAACATAAGGATTAAATCTGCGATGATGTCCAACCAATAATTTTACTTGTTTATGTTCACAATAATTCATTAATGTTTTGCAATCAGTTGCGTTAGATGCGAGTGGTTTCTCCATAAGAATATGAATACCCCTAGTTGCCAATTCCATTGCCATATCCAAATGGGTATGATTTGGTGTAGCTACTATTGCTGCATCAGGGAATGGGATATTATAAGTTTCACAATGAATAAATAATTGCTGCAAATCAGCAAATATTAAACAATTAAATTTTGCAGCAACTTTTGGTCCCTTGGCTGAGTGATCAACTATTGCCATTAATTTACAATCTGATCTCTGAAATACATGTTCTGCATGTCTTGGGCCTATGAGTCCTGCTCCAATGACTATGAATGAGATCTTTGACCCCTGGGTAAATGTTCGTTGATGGTGAAAAATATTATTCAGTGATGACGTATCAAATTGGTTTACATTGTCAAATATATCAGTTGAGTCCATAGTGTTTTAAATGATAGAGAATCAAAAAGGCCCCAGAAATGTAAACAAATCTTACAGACATCCTTAAAGATATTTATAATGTGCAACACGTACACTCATACAGCTACACATAGTTTCTACAGTACTCCTTTGAAAACAAAGAAATTTCTTATCTATCCCTTTTTCTAAAAAACCTTATCTCATCAGGAACAACCAAAATAAAAACGTGTAACAATAACAACTCCTCAGTTTTCTTCCAGTACGTCATTTCATTTATTGAAAGCCAACTCACTACATCTCTGCATATACCTATGGTAACATTCATCGACATAGATTATTGTGATTGCTACGTATAACCATAGTCCTCCAAATAGAAAATGCCAAAATAAAGTAACACTGGCAAAATCTCTTATCAGTTGAAAATCAACTACACACCCAAAAAAAAATTCTTATCAATAAATCTAAAATTCTTAGCTAGCTTCAAATTTCATTATGATGTCATAATCATGTGAAAAATTCTATTTAAATGGAAACATATAGCGAGATCCAATACACGTAAACAGACTCCCTGTTTTATATCTTGGCCCTTAAATTCTTGTCATAGCCACCATCCCCTTCATCACCGTTACAATCAAAGAAATTTTCACATAAATGATCAATGACACCCCATCCATATCCATTTGGAAACCTACGTCTAACTATAATATTAGTATGTGCATCCGGAGGAAGATTAACCAAAACTTTTCTCCAAGTTAATTTATTAGAATGTAACTTATTTGCAATCTTTACTTGTTTTTGAAGTTTACGATCTCCAAGATAGTTTAAAAGTTTATTATATATTTTCTTACTGGAAGCTCGTGGATCTTCTTCCGGGCTATTACTGAAATGATAATACTTGTCATGGAATATGACATTCTTTCTCAGATCTGGGTTGAATATGTATTCCTGTGATGGGACTGGACAGATTAAAACACTAATGGCTGACGCTATTGCAGATGCACGAGGTGGAACTGTGATTTCACTAAAGTCTGTGGAATTGGATGACATCGAAGAAGATGCAAGGGGATCGGATAAAGAATCTGACACAGCATCTTCAGGTAGGACATCTTCAAATAGATTATAATCGGATCCCTTTAGTGTAAACTTTGCATATCTCTTTTGTCTTCTTGAAGGTTTTCGACTATCATCCTTTGGCAGGGAATAGAATTTTGATAATTCTTTGTAAATGTCCTTCATGCGACCTGGTGGCGGATTTTTGCCGGTTTTACTAGGTACAGCAGGATCAGCAACTGCCTTGGCACTTGTAAATTGAGTATCGAGATCTTCATCTTGTTGCACTTCGGATACACTTTCAGTGGATTCATTTAATTCTACTGGATGATGTGGATCTTCAAGTTCAGGATGCTCTGGTATAGCTTCTTTTCTTTTCAATTGTGACACTTCACCTAATGCCTGATAATCCAAATATAACAACGCTGACGTTCTCAAAGGTACTATTCCATCATTAATTGCATTGGCATAGACCGTCAAATGCTTAAATTTACTCAAAATTGTCTGCAATGGGTCATCTGGTAAGGTTTCCAAAAGTGGTTTAAATGATTTCTTTTGACCTCCTACACTCACATCACCAAATGTCGGTATTCTTTTAGATAAAGTTAATTCACGTCCAGTTCTTCCTAATGTCCCTATATCCAAGACCCATGATATCACAAAACTAATCTCATTCAATATTCCCAATAATGGACTTGCCATTGCGATTAGATTTTCCAATTGGATCCCGTATTTTTCAAAATAGTCAACTCCTTTATGAAGTGCAATGTATTTTATAGCATAGAATTGTACTAGACCACCTAATGAATGAGCAATAAATGATATTCTGTCAATGGTATATGGCCCACTTTCGATTAGTGATATCACATATAATGCTACATTCTTACCTAATTTTCGGATCCCACGTTCAGTAAAACCAGCATTCCATCTATATCCTCGAACGAGAATGTTTTCTTTCACTGATGATTCTAAAGTTTCTTTAATATATAACATGTCGGCTGTAACATTGGAAAAAAGCCCATGGGTGATCAACACTAAATGGACTGGCTTCTGAGGGTCTTTTGGTTTATTGTCCCACATTTCTTCAGTAGTTAACTTTGTGACATCTAATTGTGGATTATAAATTACATGTTTCATATCTTCCTGTTGTGTCACTTTCCCGCTATCCTCTACACAACGGCTTGATATGGTCGAGTTGGCAGAATTAAAAGAACTCATGCGGCTCAAAGTACCACGGAGTTTTCCTAATCCCAATTTCTTGATACTGGTCAAATCCTCACCTATCATTAAATCATAAGAAATCTTTGACTTCCGACTAATTGCAATTTGAGATACAACATCTACTTCCCATTGAAATTTCTGTTCACCAGAAGAACCAGCTTCTGATAATTGTGAATTTTCATTTAGACATAAAGTAGCTTTAAATTTTTGATTTGGTTGTAATTGATTATCAAATAAAACTTCATTATTTTCCGGATCTTCAGGAATGAAGGGTTTCCTTCTATCATAATTACATGGCACAACATGGGTGTAAAGAATAAAGGGACCATTTAGGAGATGCATAGGTCTAATAGCAGGACTTTCCATATTTTTCAACACCAAATAAATTTTGGTGATATTCGGATCTTGACGAGTGTAAGTAATTTTATATCGATTTACTTCACCTAACTTTAAACTATCCCTATCTCGATACCATACAGAAGGTGTAAGCGCAATTGGTAGTCCATACAGCATTTTAAATATGATAGCCTATTGGGTATAATTACTAGTTAAAAGAAGAAGAATAAGATTTGGGTGATTATCGATTTTTTTTTCAGTCATGGCATTTAATAAATAAACAAATTGATTCATTGTTAGAAAGAAGAATGGGGTCATGGCTGAATATGACGCTTATGATTTTTTTTTGGTGTAAATGTTGGGCTAAGGAATTTATAAGTGGAAAATTTTCAAAGATATGGGAATTGATAGATTTACCAAGAAAATGTAACTATTAAATTGGTCGAAAGTCTTATTAAATAGACATCGGATTATAAAGAACTAAACAGACTAATGCATCTTTTCCTTACTATATTTCTCTTTCAAGTAATTGAAAACAACATCCAAATGGAATTTTCTGACTAAGATTCTTTCAACAATAAATCTAGGAACAAGTGCCATCACGTATGCCAAGAAAGTTGACATCTTCCCTCTATAAACATTCAATGCACCTTCTAATCTTGCTCCTTCAAAATCATTGACAACTCTTCTTGCATATTCTTCGGCTGGCATTGGATTGTTCTTCTTGGCCATCAGTCTTCTTGCTTCGAATGCTTCTTCGATTCCAGGAACATTATAAACTGAGTCTTTTGGTAATTCCCTCTTATCGGCAATATTCGTCTTTACTCCTCCAGTGATAATATTAATAACCTTAACACCAAATGGAACCATTTCAACTCTTAAAGTGGCGGCATATTGATGAATAGCAGCCTTAGTTGCTGAATAGACACATGAGAAGGGGAATGGAACAATTCCACTTAAGGAACCAGTAAAACCAATGACTCCCTTTGCATTTATCAATAGAGGTGCCAATTCGCGAACGACTCGCATTGGTCCATAAACATTGACCTCAAAACATTGAGCAATTTGCTCATCAGTAACATCCAATGCTGGGAATGTACATGATTGCCCCGCATTATTATAAAGCACATCTAAGAATTCGTCACCCGTCTCTTCTTGGATAAACTTTTTGGCATTTTTAACACTGTCAAGGTCACTAACATCAATTTGAAAGATGGTTATATTGTATTGTTCGGCAAGGGGTTTCATTGGTTCAAGTCTACGAGCTCCGGCGAAGACTTTGTAACCTCGCTTGGAAAATTCGACAGCTGTGGCGAATCCTATCCCAGAGGATGCACCTGTGACAAGGGCAACTTTTTGACGTTCAGGCATTGTACAATTGAGTTGTTGTTTGCAGGAAGAGAAATGTGGTCATTTTGTTTTGGAGTGTGATTTTTTTTGCTTGGGAGTGCTCGGCCTGTGGGGAGAGGCTCAAAGAATTCGTCTGCATTCTTTCTTTCTATCTTCAGATGATTATTTATCATGCAAACCCAGCTTGCTCTTTCATTCAAAATACGTTTAGCTGCAAATTGATGATTTGATCTGCGTTGGTGGATGCTATGGGTGATATTTCTAAAAGGCTTACGCCAATCTCTTATGCTAACAAAAACCATAGGGCTGTGGGTGACCACGACAGTCAGACTTATTACTCAAACTTTTTACTTGGTCATACTAATGTTGAAATGTTTTTTCCTCGAGTGCTTATAATCAAACATCAGATTTCTTCCATCGCATCAAAATTTCACTTATTGTAAATGCAATTATGGCCCATTCCGACCCAAACTACCACCAAAAATTAATGATTCCACCCCAGAACAACTGTTTATACTCAAACAAACCTCTAGAGAGGCAAAAATGATTCTGCCCAGGATCGAACTGGGGACGTTCTGCGTGTTAAGCAGATGCCATAACCAACTAGACCACAGAACCAATTGATATGGACTTGGAAACTGTCGTGTTTGTGCTACGATGAGTGAAAAATTATTCTCCCTGCATATAAGCTTTTTGACGGATTTTTTTTTTACGCGTCGGGTTGCTACGGTAACGGCAGTAGATCTCATCTTTGCACAGCAAAAGACAGAGATCTAAGACAAGCCTAGACCTCTTTTCGAGCTTTAAACTTTGGATTTTAGATAGTTGTAAAGCTGGATTACGTGATGTGAATATTAATACTTGAGTTGACAAATTATAATTGCCTCTGCTTGTGAAACTAAACCATCAATCTTGAATTGTATCGAGAGGTAAGTACCAATGTCTAGCACGTCTCTTTCCAATTTTTTTCATATACAATCAGTTTATTGAGTTCTTAAAGAACAGAACACTCTAGACAGAAAGGCATATGTTCCAAATCAATAGGAGCCAACAATGGTGAATAAAATAGTAATGTGCGGCAGCCGTATCATTTTAAGACAGGGCCCGTGCCAAATTGGCCGTCATTCGAAAAAATTGATATTTCACAATGATTACCTAGTCACATCTGGGGTTATCGGGGTATGAGTTCGTATATTCTGATCCCCAAAGCCATCACCTTCTTTATCTTTATCTTGCATGTTTTGCGGGGGCGGGGGTGGTATGACTGTAACTGAAACAATAGTCCGAGATATCCACGAACTCCGAAATTATTTCCGTTGTACAAGTTGTTTTAAATTATTTTTTTAAAAATTATTATTTTACTAAAAAATTAATAAAATAAAGTTATTGGTCTAGTCAATTACGAAATTCGATGAATCGAGCAATCAACATTTTCATGTTGATTATACAAAATATAGACTCTGACTTATATGGTGAGGTTAGATATGACTGTTGGCCGAGACTGGAGGCTAAGGCAAAACGATATTCCAAAAAGCTGACAGTATACTGTAAAGATCTGACAAATGAAAATACAACCATATCAACTATTTTGTGGGGGGACGACGCCTCTTTAAGATTAATGGATTACTAATTTATTCAACCGTACCGATACAATGCAAACTATAGATATCTTAGCAACTGGATTTTTTTGTGGGGAATAACAATAAAATTTGAAAAATCGCATGTTTTTTTTTCTTATTCAATTCATTTCAAAGCCATCGGGTAACAATTCCATTTGTTGCTTTTTATCCAAAGCGGAACCAACAGCTCTGTTTTAATTCTTTACATGTCCGGAGCGGCTTGACACCGCCTTAAGTGAACTACCCTCGTACCCTTCATAGTTTCTATATCTGGAGAATAGTCAATAGCTCGACAAATGGTATACCCGACAGTTGGAATAGTACGGTTCGGCTTAAAACTCCGCAGGCGAGGGAGCCGTAACAAACCAGCGAAGGAAAAAAAGACAATCTCAAAAAAATAAAAAAGTAACTCCGAAATAATAATTTTCTTCTGCATACAGGCACAACCTTCAATGAGTTCAAAAGTTAATTCACAACTGATTGTTTTCCTGCAACACTGCTTTATTGTTGGATTTATTCTTATTTTTGTTATTTGAGGGGGCTTACTAATAGCAACAATAACCCTTTGGACTATAACTCTGATTTATTTTTACTAATAAATGTGCAAATACCATTCCCATCTCCGACTCCGAAGTTCGGTGTATGGAAAAACTATTGGAACACAAGAAAAAAAATGGATGACGGATACATGTCATCGCATCTGTCAAAAAAGTATAATCTGGCAGGGAAGGGTCCAGCAATAAATCTTGGATAAACTTGTCCAGAGAAAAGGACTCAGTGTATTGCATGTTGAGCGGAGGCCCCCACTCAGTTAATTAATTTTATTTTGAAAAAGGGAAAACTTGTTCATTGTGGTTTCTTTTGTGATACTTTGCGGTAATAAATAAAAATTTTATTTTTCCATTGTTGGGGCTTTTTTGCAAGTCTTCAATATAAATAATGACATGTTTCTTCTCCATTTACCGAGTTTTAAACAAAAATTTGAACTACTAGTCCCAGTCTTTTTTATATCTCTTCTGATAATTAACTAAACTTGCAAACTATGTCGGAATCAAATAAGTCAGAAACGTCATCCTTTATAGGATCAAACAATTCTCACCATCCTGTAGGAAAGGTTGAAATTGCTGGTGAAGGTGGAGAATTCGTTATTATCAACAAACATAAGTATTACAGACATGACCTTATGGCTGCTTTTGGTGGTAATTTACAACCAGGTGCTGCTCCATATCCTACCGTAAACATCAATCCTGCCCCACTTGGATTATGTGGATTCGCTTTAACTACATTTGTATTATCCTTATATAATGCCCAAGCAATGAGTATTAAAATCCCTAATGTGGTTGTATCACTTGCTTGTTTTTATGGAGGTGCTGCGCAATTCCTTGCTGGTCTTATGGAATTCCTTAGTGGGAATACATTTGGTTTTACGGCGTTGACGTCGTATGGAGCTTTTTGGTTAAGTTTTGCTGCTATTTTTATCGAAAGTTTCGGTATTGGAGCTGCATATACAGGTTTTGAAGAACAACTCCCCAATGCCCTTGGATTCTATTTAATGGGCTGGGCAATTTTTACCATGCTTTTATGGTTAAATACATTTAAAGCAACTGTTCCATTTTCAGCATTGTTTTTCTTTTTATTTGTAACATTTTTATTATTGGCTGGTGGTGAATTCAGTGGGAAAACAGGTGTTAGTAGAGCTGGTGGTGTTTTTGGTGTTATCACTGCATTTATTGCTTGGTGGAATGCTTATGCGGGTGTGGCCACTCCACAAAACTCATACTTCCAAGTACTTTATATCCCAATGCCAGGGAATCAAATGAAACCATAATCCTTGGGTGGATCTTTAATAGTTTATTTATAGTTTATTTTAAACAATCCTGGGGGGGATCTTGTTTATTTATAGTTCGTTTTAAACATTCCTGGGGAGGGATCTTTTATAGTTTATTTATAGTTCGTTTTAACCATTAATTTAATCATTACCTTGTTAGAATACTTTCATTGTAGCTGTACCATTGATCGGATTTGATGGGGTTTTTTTTGCAGCACCTTCTAACTACACGTGGAAGCGCACCATCGGTGGTGATTTTTTTACCAAATGGAAATCTGTCAAAATTAATAATCAGATTTCCATCATCATCATCTCATCCCCAATAGTTACATAACCATGCGTTTCATAAATTTGCTAACACTAGCAAGTATCTCATTTATACTTCATCCAGTTTTATCAGCATATAGTCCCGTTTCACTTCTTCAAGCCAATGATGCCAATTTCAAATCATTAGTTGTCAATTCTGATAAATTCTCCCTTGTAGAAATCTATGCTGATTGGTGTCGACATTGTAATAAATTACATCCAATTTTTGAACAATTATCGGATATGTTTATTGATGTACTGGATCAAATACAAATTGTAAAAGTGAATGGTGATAAAGATGGGAAAAAAGTGGCTAGGAAATATGTTGATAAAGGATTTCCTACTATTTTATTTTTTTATGGCAAGGGAGATGATAAGAATCGAGTTGAATTTGAAGGGGTGAGGGATTTAGAAGGATTGAGTAATTTTGTACAACAATTGAGTGGAGTGAGATTGATTAAGGGGAATAAGGAGAAGGAAGAAGAAGAAGTAACAAGTGGTGAGTTGGAAAAGAAGATTGTGATTGATCAAAAGAAGGAGCTTGTTAGATTAAGTCCAGATAATTTTGATGATATAGTTGGGAAATCACCTGCTAGTGTTGTTGTATTTGGTGCCAGTTGGTGTTCACATTGTCAAGATTTAAAACCAACATTGGAGATATTGGCCACCAAAGTATATGCTAGGGATAATAACTTATTAATTGGACATTATCAATTGGATGAATTTGAAGGGAATGAATTTTGGAAGAGATATGATGTTGAATCACTCCCTACGATTTTATTTTTCAAGGATGGAGATGTATATAATCCCTTGGTTTATAAGGGGAAGAGAAAATTGGAAATATTGGTTGAAAATATTAATGGATTTGCCAAATTGAATAGAGATGCCGAAGGGAAGCTAATTGCTGGGACTGGAATAATACCGGAAATAAATGAGATGATTAAACAAGTTCAAAAGGATTCAAGTTTTGGTTCAGAGGGGTTGAAGATTTTGGAAAAACTAGATGAGTTGATTGATGTTGACGAGGAATCGAAAGAATATTATAGAAAGTTGATTGATTTGTTTGTTATAAACAAGAAGAATACTAATCAATTGCAAATAGAATTGAATAGAATTCAAACCATTTTAAATAAGGATTCAAATAGATTAGATACAATTACCCTTGATTCGTTACAAAAGCGATCAAACATTTTAGGTCTGTTAGTTTAAATTTTTTTTATTCTATCAAACTATATAAAAGAGAGCAAAACATTAAAATAGCAAACTAATTATGACATTTTTTATTATCAATCTATAGGAACAAACCAAGGTTATTAGCAATCTATAAGACCAACTCTTACCAATCTATTGGATCAAATTTTTGAACCATTCTAACTTTTTCAGGCCAAACTCTACCATCTTTTAAAATACATTCATCAACAATTGGTTTAACATTTTCAGGACGACATAAACCTAACCAAATATTTTTACCTGATCTTTTTAAATAAATGATTACATTTGCACCAAATTTATGTCCACCAACATGATTAACAAATGCAACATTTACACCTCCAGGAGTTAAATCACCAAAATCTCGATATAATCCTAATTCCTGTAAATACATATTCATTTCTTTTTGCATTATTGGCGCAGTAATTCCACATCTCTTATCTCTTGTTCTATGAGAACAGAAAAATACATATGCCATATTATTATCTTTTTGAACTTGTGGGAATTGGGATAAGATAGAATCAATTGGATAAGTATCAGGGTCAGCTAGTTGTTGAGTAAGGCTAGTCAATATTGGATCAACTTGTTGAATAGTTAGACCTTTAATGGAAAGGAAATGTGGAAGTAAAAGGATATCACCTTTTGTTTCATTTATATAATCATCTTCAGTTAATAATTCATCAGAACCAAGGGAAGAACAAGTAACTTTAATTTTCCCCAAGGGTGACTTGGTCTTGTCAGCCCACTTGGCAATTTCATGGGAAAGAGTTCCCTTTACACTGGTAGCATCATGTGGCCAGTCTGTTTTACCTGTATATACCACTATATGTAATCCATAAGGTTTTGTTGATTCCCAAAGTGGTGCATTTTCTTCAAATTTTACTGATTTTGGAAATGAACCAGAAGTACATCCATCACAAGTGGATGAACAGGTAGATACTTCAAATCCTGCTTTTGTTATTTCTCTTTCTGGATTAGGATTGGAGGGAAGACCTAATAATTTGTGAAGGATTGTCATATCTGGGCGGTTTAAGTTGAGATGTTAACTTGGCACAAAAACTAATAATTTATAAGCTGGAAAAAAAAAATGCTAGTATGTGATGATGTATAAAGGTGTGTGGGGATGGAATCAAATAAGCAATGAGATTAAGGTTTTATTTGAATAAGACAAGGGAGGACAAAAGATCCTTTAATTATGAAGTTGATAAAGTGGCAAATAGATTAATTAAGTTGATTTTAAAATCAGGAAGAAATTATCACATTTTTATATTTACAAATTGTACCCTTGTCTTTAAATGTTTTATTTGAAAAAAAAAAAAAAGAAATCGCACAGAAAAAAATAAAAATAGCAACGGCGTCGTAAAACTCAGATAATTATAGAAAAGTTACGTCATTTTTGGGGGATTATAATGGGGCTTTAATGTTCTTGAATTAGTTATTCACGTTGACAAATGTAAGTAATTGTATAGTTTCGAGTCAATATATTTTGTTTTTTAAGAAACATTGGTTTTATAATGACTATTTTTAGCTTATAAGTTGCAAATATAAATTTGTATGATTAATTTAAATAAAAAGAACAAAAAAAAAAACCCAACAGAATCGGAAAAACCGTTTTTGGACCGATCCGTCATTCCGAACTCAATATATTTACATTGTATTGCTTTTGATTTACATCAGTACATACAGTAACATCAGTACACCACCAATATATTTGTACAAGTCAACAGCTTATAAACCAATTAATTTCTACAAGCGGCCCCCACCAATTAGTCGTTAGTTAATTCATAAATTTGTTTGATATTGATTAATGGTCATTAAAAGAAACATCTTCTATTGATATTTGATTAGTTCTGGGGGGGGCAATTAAATTTTGTTATTAGGAAATGTTTTACGGTTACATATTCAATACCAATGCTTCCTTCATCCTCTTCAATTTCATCTTCACCCTGGTAAGAATCACAAATCTTTTCTCCTAATGCTCTTCCATATCTCCAATTTTTATGTTCTATTTTCTTTGTTGGTTTTTTATCTTTTTTTAAGTCAACTACACGGGAAATTTGCAGTATTTTTTGTATGATAAAATCGATTTTACAAAGACCACTTTTTTACCGTTTTCTAATTTTTGAAAGCCATATTCTTTATATATAGCATCACGAACAAGTCTACATATATTAATAATGGTATATATGAAGACTATAATGTTTAAAGATTAAAAAATTGGTGTATTTGGCATTTATTATTTAACTACGTAAAATCTATATATAGGGTACAAAAATCTCGATTTTTCATAAGGAACAAGCTTATCACCGTTTGCCATACCTTCTATTTTGATCGTTTCTTTCTGTTCTTNGTTGGTTCTCTTGCTCTCCAACCATTCATACATTTTTTTGGCTAATTTTTTTCCAATTTCTTCTCTAATTAATTTCTTCTCTAAACAATCCTATTTCTTCTTTAATTACCCTAATTACCCTCGTTCACGATTACTTTCACCCCTCTTAACATTCTTACACTTTCAGTATTACTTCGTGCATTTCTATTCCGAAAGTTTCTCCAAAGTTTGAAAATCCGTTCCAGTTTTGGTCACATGACACCACGTGATTTGAACGTGATGTTCACATGACTATTTTTCCCTTTTAGGCAAGAAAAAACCTAAATTTTTTTCCTTCGCGTTTGTGTCTCGACTATATGCCGGAAAAAAAATTCAGAGTTTTGCATTCGCGAAAAATGCTCTGTTGCCCCGTCTACGTCCACTTATCCTTCATTTTTTTGAAAAATTCTCCTCAACGTCCACTTATCCTTCTTTTCTTAATACTATATTATAACAATTGTTCTATTTTGAATTGCAACCGATGCGATCGTTCTTTACCTTTTGCAAACTTTCTAACTAAAGATTACTCCAGAATAACTAGAAAATGTATTTGGTGCTTAAACCCAGAGTTGTCTTCAGACCATACTTTAATGTCAAGATTGCCAGCGTCATCAACAAAATGAAGTGTTGCCTAATGAAAATGATGCTGTTCCTTTAGGGTTTATTCTGCGTTTTCATGAAATTACCCCTATAAGACTAGGTGCAATGGGTGGTGCTTTACACTGGAGAGATGAATTATCAACAGGTAGTTCAAAATATTCCAACTGCTGTAAACAGGGTCGAATTAAACTTCCTGATTTTGAAGAACCTCCTCCATTCCTTAAACAATTATTTGAGGGTCTTTCTCCCATCGAGAAGAATTTTAGACTGAAAATTCGTATGTATAATAGACTTTTCACCTTTACCTCCACTCGAACAAATCAAAATCCCAACCAAGGTTTTGCTCCTTTTATGTTACTTGATGCCTTTTATCAATTTCACGGTCCAATGGATCCTACGTTGGGAACAACTCCAGATTACGCCCAATTAATGGTTTATGATCCACAAGATGCAGCTAATGCACTTTACTATTTCCTTCGGGTGATAGAGGTTGGCATCCAGGTTTAAAATTGACCGATGATGGTAGGTTGGGATTTTGATTTGTTCGAGTTGAGGTAAAGGTGAAAAGTTTATTATACATACAATATCAAGAAAGGACTATCATTAATGAACATGGTTACCCCGTATACAAAAGGTTGGAGGCGTGGTTTGTTTATAATGAGAATGCTAAATTGGAAATTGAGAAGTTTGAAGAATAAAGTTTGCTTTGAGGCTGTCCATAATCTTTTAGTGGATATTAAAAAAGTTAATCTTCCTTTTGGTGGTGTGCCGGTTGTCATGGGTGGTGATTGGGCTCAAACTTTGCCTGTTGTAACAAGAGGTGGTCGTGGTGATGTGGTCGATGCCCCTCTTAAGAAGTCATTCTTATGGCATTATGTTCAGGATTATCGCAGAATATGAGACTCGGTAGATCTTCTGAAGATGTAGCTTATGCTAATTGGTTGAGTAGAATGCCGTATGATCAGAACTTACATGGTTCAATTAAGTTACCCGATTATATAAACCAAGTTAACTCAATTGATGATTTATTAGAAAGTATATTTCCCCAAGATTTATTTTTGAGTGGTCTTGCTGATCCAGTCCAATACTTTTCCGAGCGCGCTGTGTTGGCTATCAAAAATGAGAGAGTCAAAGATCTCAATGATATGTTACTTGAGAGATTACCTGGAGAATGTACAATTTTTGAGTCAATTAATGAAGTGGATGATGGTTTAAATGGTGCTACTGATAACAG